CCCACAGGAAACGCAGAGACAAATTGTGCTGCTTGGTTTTAATAGAAGGTTAGCTTTTCTGGTTCGGAAAATGTTACGAGGCAATTGCTAGTTTAAAGGGGACATATTGTACTAAATTAGTTGGCATTATTTTTCAAGCCTTTTACGTGATATTAAGTGTTGAGTATTCCTGTTTGGTGAGATTGTCCCCTCTAAAAGTCCATTCTAGTGTTGTCACGATACTTTTTTTATTTCATTCATAAAGTGTAAAAAGACATTAACACTGTCACAATGTCAAACATACAAGAAATGAATGAAAAGGAGCAGAAAGAAGAGTAATCTTATGTTCTTATCTGCCCCTTTTTCCCTTTTCCAGACAATACATCAACACCGATAGCTACTTTAAAGCATTTCCAATCAGTACATTTCAGTTCAGTCAATTTCTTTCAATTGCAAACAGAAATCTTCACAACTTAGTTTCCTTTTTCATACACACACATTGCAAACTGGATTTTATGTGTTTTTTAAATCCCATCATTGTACTCACACATTGTACTGATTCTTTTATATCTTTGTCAAGACTATTCCGTAAGTTAACTCCTTTCACAGTGATGCTTCGCTCCATAACCTTAGTTCTGAATCTGTTTTTTTGTTTTTGTTTTTAAACATGTACAGTATGTTCCTTTTAAATTGTAGTGGCTTGTTCTCATCTCAAACAGTCTTTGAATATTTACAGGTAATTCATTGCACATTGCTTTATACATGACTTTGACTACATTATTAAAATTCAAAACTCAATACTGATACCACAATGATGATTCTTTAGACAATAGAATGTCATTTTCAACATTAAATCTTGGTACTTTCTATTATTTTACCATGTGCTTTTATATGTGTGTAATCCCTCAGTGGTCCAAGCTCTTATACTTGTTCTGATACAGCTCAAGATCATTCTAAAGATATTCAGGAAAGGTTCATGTCTGTCCTGTGAATCTGAATTTTTTCAGTATCAATATTTGTTCAAATGAGTCTCTAGTTTCACTTAGTATCTGATTTCCGATCATTTTGACAACCCTACATCATATTGTTTCCAATAGTGGGCATCATCAGGAACATAATCCAAGTGTTTTAAAGAAAAGTGAAAAAATTTACAATATGGTTTACATATTTCAGCTGGTTGTTTTGCACTATGTCACTTTGTGGTTAATGTTTCGTCGCCTGCTTGTTTCTATGGATATGTCATTGCACAGTATGACTTAAAACAGCTCTACTTTACATTTATTCAATTACAGGTGATTTTATGGCACAAAAAAATACCTAGAAAAACATGTATTTTGACTGTGAGCGGGTCACCTCTCCACAGATCTGACCTGTAACTTGCTCTGGTTTGGTCTCCATGAAGATAGAAAGGTTTAATCGCATACTGTGAAACATCCCAGACAAAGCAATAACATCTCCACGGTGAAAAGCATTTGACGGACCCTCCACCAGAACAAATACGCAATGCACATTTTAAATACACCTATAAGTCTTGAAATGCTTAAACAATTTCAAAAAGAATTTAAATTAGATGGCATAAATCATAACATGTCCCCTTTAATCTATATCTGTCTTGGATGCCCTCTACAACCCGTGGTCACGTCACTGCCAACATGACGCTTTGTTTTGCATCTGAATAAAACATGAAATGGGTCCTTCTGTAGTACCAGGACTTTGAAAGCATTGATCCAAGAATAGTGTTGATAAAATATTAACCGTGCCCACCGCGGCCACTGACTGTTAATGCTTACCGCACATTATAGATCTTTGCATATACATCACATAAAAAACATGTATAGGATAGAATACAAAGAGCTTTTCTGTGTAGGAGATAAAGCATTAAGCATCAGCCTCAGTGGATGATGTGAGGAAATGTTATTGAAAGTTGCGGATTGACCTTCTGAGGCTTCTGTAGTCAGTGGGAGGTGGCTTTTGAAGAGAGGAGTAAAAGGATTGATTACAGTTTTGTTATGTTTAAGGCACGCCATTGTATGCTTGTATGAAGAGTGGAATCGAATGGAAACTTCACGCCAAAATATGCTACTTTAACTTTTAATTTCATATTTAAAATTTTTTCTAGAGAGTGATGTGATTTTTAGAACTGTGCATGCAGAAAAGAAACATAAAAACATAAGAATTTTTACAGATGATTTGAATACAGATGAAGGATTTTATTTATTTTTTTAATCTTCAAGGAGATTATTTAATAGTTTTCTTAAAGGTACAGTATGTAACTTTCTGTAGGTGGCATGTCACCTGCATTTCCATAGCAATCAAAAGTTAAAACCATACTTTTTACCATGCATTTTCCATGGCGATAAGTTTTATGCTGTACATTGAACAACACTTCAAGTAAAGACATTTTTTTTTCAGTTCAAGAAAGACCAAAATACAAAAAAATTTACCCCCAAAAACTGATAGAATAAATCATTTCTATGGCTAATTATTGCTTCATTCTGATATTTATTTAAAAACACTAGACAGTTTGCAAGAATCATGGACGTTATAGACCGCGCACCATCCAGTCAGCGAAGAGCCATACATTCAGTGTTGACAACGATTCCTGAGATTGAGGATTTAAAGCCAGAACAAGGAGAATGTTTGAATTTTATCAAGGGGAAAGATTATTAAGATCATTATTGCCCTTCTTCCTACGGGATTTGGGAAAAGCTTAATATACTATTTAGCCCGGTTAGCGACGCATTACATACGTCACGACCAAATAGCAGCGATTGGTTAAATAAAGAAGTACCTGCCTACCGTTGAGCGAATGAATTCTAATCCTGCGAGATCAGAGGTTGATGAATCAGGCTATTTAATGATAGCATCTATTTAAAATTTGGTGATCTTGCTTTACTTCAGTGAATTAAAGTAGTTTCAGTATTATAGGAGCAATATATCATGCTTTGAAATTTGACATGCCTACTTTTTACCTTAGTAATTTCTATTTTATTTCATTCATATTTTTCCCTTTGACTTTGTATTGTCCCTCTGTGACCTATATTGGTACATCTTTATAGATCTATGTAGCGCCCTGGCCCCGCCCCTCCCTGGTGTGCGTTAGAGCCTAAGTGGACATCGGGCTCTGAATCATTGATGAGCCTTTTGCACATGGCCTTTGGTGCAGATGTGACAGAGGGTTTGGGTTTGGTGCTAGACCGCTCGCAACTGTGCATCTCCTGAGCTCTGAAAATTTAAATTCACTTTCGGGTGTCAAAGATGCGTCTGGCTCTTGGATTTTGCGAGCAGTTGGCTAAATCTACCTTTTCTTCATTTCCTGCAAAGAAGCCGGGGGTTTCTGAGGTAAGGGGACTGCAGGTGGCATGCTTTGTTGAGCGATTTCTTGTAGTGGTTTGACACTGCAGAATATATTTACTATAAGGTTGTTGATATTGACGAAATTTAATAACTGTATAATTGTAGAGGCTCTTGATAATAATAATAGCTGGATCATATTTTTAATAAATCATCAGAAATGTGTGAAAACGTGCCTTGATTTGTTTACGGATCGCTCAAATAGTCTTTAATATTAAACAAGTGTAATATTCCTTTATGACTTCAGCTTAGACAAATATAATTCTTGCTTTATTTTTGTGATTTTTCTGACCAGCATTGCGATGGATTCTGCTCAAAGTTCAAGTTTTAAACACATTAAGAAGATAGACAAAATGTAAAAACATGAATTGACAAATGGATGCACAAATCACAGACCTAAACTACAGGGGTGGCAATTTTTATGCAGTATATACAAGATTTTTCGGGGTTTGTGGAGGAAATTATTATTATTATTATTATACTCCAAAAACTGCAGCCTAAATTGCAATTCAACTGTGATATATTTTGCATCCCTAGTATCCTGGTTTGGGAGATTACACTGAAAGTTTTATTATTATTATTATTCTTGAGCAATTCTTTTTTGATGAATCGCAGTTTTAGTACAATATTACTATCCCAGAAACTAGACGAGTTGCTATATGTTTTATAGACCTTCAAAACAGCAATTGCAATGTTCTTTTTAAAACAATGCATCACCAACTTTTAATATCTCCTCCTTTTCACCATTTTCAGTTTGATGATCACAGTGGCTGGTACGGGGTAATTGGATGCTTTTCTTTCTGCTTCTGCTGCATCTATTTGCGCTTTCAAAGAATCGCCTGGAGTTTGCTAGGGGAAAAAATGGAACAAGTTAATTAGCTTGTTTCACTGCTGCCTGTTTGGTGCACTGTATTGACGCTTGTCTCTGTCTCTCTGTACCCACTAGCTGTAATCCATCACATAAAATGGGTCACATGTAATTCTGCACACAGCTGATGTTGCTTACTATACAAATAGCCAGAATGGGCAATTTTTTTTGATATTTTGCTTTCAAAATTTGCTCGGCATTTGTGGAAATCTTTACAAGGTTCCTAAAAATAACTGGTGCATGTTTGGGTATCATGATTTTGGTTTTGATGCTGGACTGTTGTAGCCAGGCTGGTGCCACCTACTGCCTCCACTCAATTTCATTTCTCCAGGGACTAGGTCAGGAATCGGAATACACTAGACTGTTTGCAAGAACCCCGGAAGTAGTAGACCGTGCACTGGCTAATCAGCGAAGAGCTGTGAAGTCATGTCTGGGTCCCTTTTTGTGGTACAGCACTGTTGTATTCTCACATATCACCACTAGATGCTGTCTACGTTACTGCTGTCAGGTAGTGTGGCAGCAGTGGTCTGTCAGAAGAGTAGTTGTTGTAGCTGTTGTAGTAGTAGTAGTAGCTGTTGTTGTAGTAGTAGTGGTTGTAGTAGTTGAAGTAGTAGTAGTAGTATTTGCAGAATGAATTGTTTTCTCATTACGACTTGTGTTTTGGTTTTCATAATCCATCTGCGTTGTTTTCAGTGTCCTCCTTTACTTCTTGCTTTGTAACACCTCCTACCAGTACCCCCTTTTATACAGCTTGGTCTCATAGTCTAATTAGCCGATGTCTTTGTTGTGGTGTTTCCAGGCCACGGAGAACGAGCCGGGGGACATGGACCTGAGCGGGCTCCCGGAGACGGCGGTGGACTCGGAGGAGGATGATGATGAAGAGGACATCGAGAGGGCGTCTGATCCCCTGATGAGCAGGGACATCGTGCGCGACTGCCTCGAGAAGGACCCTATGGACAGAACGGACGATGACATAGGTGAGTGCAATAGGACGATGTAAAGCGAGACAGGGTTACGTTAAAAACTATCATGTGTAAAACAGAAAATGCACAAAAAATGTAATCCTTTGCTAGTGAAGTTCATGATGTCTTTAACCATGTCAGAAATATGGGATTTTTCTAGTGGAGGATTCACTACTTTCTTGTCTCCATGGTGATGTTATTGCTATGCCTGAAATGTTCCCCGGTATGGCATTAAACATGTATGTATACTGTATCTCCATGGAGCCACCAGGCCAAGGTACTGGTAACATCTAGGAGAGAAGATCCTACTCCCTGTAAGAATGCATGCTACTCAAATCTACACTGTGGAACATCCCAGGCCATGCATCGATATCGCTATGGAAACAAGCAACTAGTGGACCCGTCTACAAAAACGTTACATAGTGCACTTTAGCCTACATTCAGACTGCAGCCTGAAGTGACCCAATTCAGATTTTTTCACCCCTATGTGACCTGTATCTGATCTTTTAATGACTGATTTTCAAATGTGACCCAGGCCATTTGGATATGTGCTCCTAAAACCGATACATATCCGATCCTTTGACATGTGACTTCAGTCTGAACGGCCAGGTCGCATTCATCCCACCTACACGACAGGCTCGGAGTGTAGTCAGTGGTGGGAAAGCGAGGTTAGCCAGTTCATTCATATTTGGGGGATCGCTGTATGAGGGGTCTTATTAGAACAGGGCAGTTTTTTAAAATGATTGCCAAAGAAATGGCCGAGGCAGTCCTGGCTCCAATGTCAACAAAAATTAAAGAGCCTGCGATCCAAATACAAGGAGGCTAAAGACTCAAATCAAATGAAGCGACCGTGGACGTGTAACCTGTCCATTTTACGAAGAACTGGACCGTATTTTGGAGACAAGTCCAGTGTTTAGGCGACTTCCATAAACACAGAGCACACTCGCTGCGTGTCACGTCGTTGTGTCCTCCAGTGTGCATGCGGGACCCTTTGGGGGCATTTGAAATTCACATTGGAGATCACATACAAGTCGCATTTAACTGGAAATGTGAACGACCTCACAAAAAATCAGATTTCACAAAAAAATCCGAATTGAGCATTAAGTCCTGCAGTCTGAATGCAACCTTAGTTGTGGTGACATCTTATACTCAGTAATGTGGCTCAATGTAACTTGCATCAATATCTTCCTGAATTCACATTCTTTTATAACATTTAGCTATCCAAGAATATACAAGAATACAACTTAATAGTGACATCAATATCAAAGGATTTGCTCATGGTCCTATAATGTATTGCAGCGGCTTTATACACACTGATTCTTTGTTCAATTTCACAGTTGCAAACATAGAGAAATGACTGTTAGCACATCTATTTTAGCATTAGCTCTGTATGACAGGATTGTGTTGGCGCTGTTTTATTTTCTTACATTCAGCCGTTTTTACTTTAAGAGATTTCAAATAGTATTCATCCTTGGGTGTTTCAAATAATGAATAATATAAAAGTTGGTTTAACTAAATCGACTGTCAATAAACCAAGGATCAGAACATCAGTACTATAAATCTTTCAAAATATCTTCAGAATTTTCCACTGCACTCCCTTGATTTTACTCACTGATTTTATTAAACTGCATATTACATTTTATTAATATTTGCTCTACTATTCACATCACTTTTGAGTAATTCTTTGACTCATCCAAAGCTCACGGTATCATATCTTTTAAATCTATGACTCATCCGCCGTGATTTTGATATCCCTGTTGCAAAAAGAAAAAAAACAAAGCTCCAATACCCAGGGCTTAGCTACAGATGCGGATAGTACCAGTGCATGTTGAGTAGGTGCCAGCAGTATCTCCTCTCCAGTCTCCCCTCCCCCCGCACCCGATCCCGCTCTCCTCACTGTACTCCCACAGCCCCTCCCCTCCCCGCCAGGCTTTTCTAGGTCACTCCGGCAACATCCTCACCTCTCCCGACGCATTAAACTTTCAGTGCATACATCCGCAGCCTCGTGCTCCACGCTGTTGCCATGCCAAGCACAGGTCAGCGAGTGCACTCGTGCCAATGTAAAGCGTGCCAGTTGGAAAAGCACCCAGGAAAAGTGTATAGACCTAAATATGAAGTCGTTTACTGATTTTCTTTTTTTTCCCCAAAAAAATGAATGTACTGCAAAGGGGACACACCCATCCAATGTCACGGTGTGGTACAGTGTGTGAAGTGAGGTGCCCAGACAAAGGGATTTCGCATACAGTAAAGATGGCAGCCATATAGTATTCTCTTTGTGCAGAAAATAAAAGCAAATGAAGTAGCTAGCGTGCAAACAATCGCCAGCTTGCTAATTGTGACATTAGCACCCAGCCAGTATGCAGTTGTTTTGTTTATATAACAATTTAGCAATATAATGGTGAAGTTTAATGCATGGTATGCTAGCCTGTTTTCCACTAAACAAAGCAATGAACTGATGTGATGAATGTAATTAGTGAGGTTTGGTGCCACATTTTTGATGGAGGGTCTATTACCCGCTTGTCTCCATGGGTATGTTATTGCTTTGCATAAAATGTTCCATTGTATGGCAATAAACTTGTCTATCTCAATTTAGAAAGACAGGTACCACCAGGCCAATTTACACGTCAGATCTGTGGACAGCGGTGCCACGTTTTTGAGCTACAGAAACAACTGTAATGAAGTAAATGTATAGTCAGGCTGGTGCCACCTAGTGCCTCCGCTCAATTTCATTTCTCTCCAGTGACTAGGTCAGGAATTGCAATACACTAGTTGGTTTGCAAAAACCCTGGAAGTGTGAGTTTTGACACCAGCCAATCAGTGAAGAGTCATATATTCTGGGTTGTCAAACATTCCTGAGATCGAGGATTTAAAAATGGAATAAAGAGAATGTTTGGTGCATTTCATCAAGGGGAAAGACGTTATTGCTCTTCTTCCTACAGGATTTGGGAAAAGCTTAATATACCGGTTAGCACCGTTAGCTGCGCATTACATACATCACGACCAAATAACAGTGATTGGTTAAATGAAAAAAAGTAGTTGCCTATCGTCAAGTGAATGAATTCTAATGCTGCGAGGGCAGACGATTACAAAGTGAAACCGGCTGATGAATCAGGCTAGTAAATGTAAATACAATATAGAAAAGGCTAATGCTTTACTGTGGAACATTCCAGACAAAGGAATAACATCTCCAGGGAAACAAGTAGGTGGCAAACCGTCCACCAGAAAAAAGACATTGTGCACCTTTAAAATGTTCAGGTATAGTTTTATAGAAGCATATAAAAGAAATAACAAAACAAAACAAAACAACAAAAAAAACTTAATACCTTCTATGGGACTTTACTGCAGTTTTGACACACCCTTTATGTGTATAAAACAGTGTCACTGTAGCTCCCAGAACGTGCAGGCATTGTGAATACAGTGAAGACGACTGCTCTAGTATTCTCTTTTCTGCTCGGGAGAATAAATTATGACACATTTTAAATAAAACAAAGCTGTCTTGTCAGAAACCATGTCATATTAAAACAGGCTCCCCAAAGGCTCTTTCTGTTCGCAGTATTTTCTGTCTTAAAACTGCTTCTTAAGAAAATGTTGACAGCCTGTTTTGACACTACATGGGGTATATTTTGATAATGCATTTGGGTTTTTCTGTCATTGGAATTCTAAAATGCGACGTCGAACAAGAACTCTCCCTGCTTGGCGTAAACAGAGCAGCTGGAGACAGGAAAAGATGCTATCGGATATTGTAGATATAATATGATCTGTCAGAGTTTAACCCAACGAAATGCACGTGCCATCACTGTGACTACTGTTTATCAAGGGAACCAGTAAGACAAGATACTTAAGATACTGTCCAGTTTGGTAGAAATAAAATGTTTAAACTTTAAGGCGCTATACCTGATATTCATTGTCTTAAAAAATGTAAAAGATTTGCACTGATCCAAAGTTATTCCTCTCTTACCTTATGCATTCCCATCATCGTAAATATTTTCTGTAATGAGTTCGTAAGTACAAGAAGTACAACTGCAGAGTTTTACAGTGATGGTAAGGTTGGCAACAGTTAGTACACTAGCAGCATACGTCCTGGTTACTGGGCAAGAAAACACTTTATAATCAGATGCAGACAGAAAACAGTGGTTTTATTTTGACCTCAGGAGCTTTTTATACAATATATCTGCGCTGACGGTTGATCAGTTTTGCTCAAAGACATCAAGTACAGGTTCTTCAAGATTAGAATTTATGGCAAAATGTATTATTATTAAGTCCTTCGTGCACTGAAGAGCCATGATATCTTTCACTTTACTTAAAAATACAACTTCTAATCTCATTTTTCATTTGTAACTTACGGTATTGCCCAAGATAATACTGACAAATTCAAAACCACACTGCAACTAAATACATAGATGTAAAGATTTTCTTTATTGTGGAAACTACTCTAAGCTCATGCTGTTTTCACAAGAACACAGTGACTCGGTTGATTAGTGGCTGGCACTCTCTCAAGTCAACAAGGGCCAACATTTTTCAGACCTTATTACTGGAAGATAATTTAATCAGTCAGCTGGACAAAGCTTATTTTGTTGTACTCTTTCTTCCTTCTGAATTTTGCACTTTCATATCTCTAAACAAAATAATATTTGATCTATTCCGCTGGTCATTGCTCATCTTTTAAACTGAGAGTTTGTGCATAAATAAAAATCAAGCACATGAACTTTCCCTCTGAATATTTGTATTCTCTTCTCCTTTCCCAGAACAACTACTGGAGTTCATGCACCAGCTGCCAGCCTTTGCCAACATGACCATGTCCGTGAGGAGGGAGCTGTGTGCCGTCATGGTGTTTGCTGTGGTGGAACGAGCTGGTACTATAGTTCTCAATGACGGAGAGGAGGTGCGTACTGTTGCATACTAATGCTACTACAGAGTTTAGTGGTTGGTTCTGTGATTGCATGGTTTCTCATTTCTTTATGTCTTTTTAACATTTAATGGGACAGAATTTTGGACATAGGACCTCATTTCCTAGTTAGCCAGAGTGTCACTTTTTTTAAATATTCCATCCAGTCCTTGTATTTGTAGAGGCTGCTGGTGCTCGGCTAGCACATGTCAGTGGCCATAACCCACTCCATCGTGCTTCCGAGGCAAAACAATCATTACGTTAGACTGTCGATGTGAATGTCTGTGTTGATAGAATAATTTTCGAAGTAAAACCAACCTTGCATTTGAAGATTTATGTCTGAGCAGCAGCAGTGAGTTGTACTTCCTGATAAAAAGCTTGGCAGCGGCGGACTGATATCACCTAGCACTTATCTTACCGGCAAAATAAAATTCCACTGCTGCTGAGAAAATAGTCCATCAACATATCATGATTCATGCGATGCAAGGTTAGTTTTATTTGCTAACAATGGACTGGATGAAATATTTTTAAAAAGTGTCTCCACACGTCTCCAACACTGTGGCTCACTAGGAATTGAGGTCCTATGTCCAAATTTCAGTCATGCTCATTGGAAACTGGGGAGGCAGGATACAAATCTTAAGTCTTTGTAAGGTCTTGTTATCATTGCTGTTCATGCATGACTTTTGGTTAGTCTTTCAGAATAGTTAATAATAATAATAATAATACATTTTATTTATTAGGCACCTTTCTGCACACTCAAGGTTGCCTTAAAAAAATAAATACAAAACATAAACAGTTACACATAACACAAAGTTAAATACAGTACCAGCCAGTTGTATTATTTAATAAAAAAGAGTAAGAATTAAAGTTGTGCAGAACTTAATTCCATATGCACAGAGCTCATATTAGCCTGAAACTTTAGCTTTGATTGTTGTAGCATGAGTCAAGGTTGGGATTATGCAACGAATACCATTTACTAACAAGACTTAATCTGTTGGTAGCCAAAATAAAACTCTACATACCCAGGCTAATTGAGTACACCGCCATGGTCATAGCACACTCTGATGTAAACATAAACATCCTCTAAAGCACACCAGTGAGCTTTGCCCACACCAGTGCATCTTTCATCTCCCATTTCCTGTTTTTTCTGCTCTATTAAACTCCAATGGCGGACATCCCTTATCGCTGGACTTCTGGAGTGTCCCTCAGGCATCAAACTCAGGCCCCATTTATTCTCTTTTCTCCCTCGTCAGGACAGAACAGGCCTTTTCAATGAAGACAATTTGCTTCCCTTTCTTCTGACCAAACTCTCTCACAATACAGAGCAGACCGTTCCTTCGGGGCTCCGTCACTCTCACAAACAACCGATTGTGATGAGTTTAAGGTTCAGCAAGCATATTGCAGCTGTCTGGGAGCAAAGTAGCATGATACGTCAAGACCCAGAAGCACGCGTTTCTTTCTGCCATCAAAGCTAAATTAGCCCCTCCACAACAATTACTATATCGACTTATGGATTGATACATGCTAGAAAGAACACTACTTTGTCAGTTTATTTATTTACTTTTATTTATCTATCTACATGTAAGCTGCTATGATACTTTATAGATATTAGAACTAACATTAAAGGTGACCTATTATTCAAAATAGACAACTACAACATGGTTAAAACAGAGGTTTTAACCATGTTGTAGTTGTTTCCCCTTCTCATTTCCCCTCTCTAAGTTGTATTTAGCATGATTCATGCATGTTGGAGTAATCTTTATTCCACTATATTCAAGAGGTCATTGCTCAACCCCCGTTTTCACCACCACTGCAGCAGACTTGTATCTTTTATTAAGTTGTTTTAGATCAATATTGCGATTTAAAATGTCCATATTATAACATAATGATCCATGTGTGCATAGATCATAACCATATTGCAAGCAAAGTCAAGCAGGTCTTCTTTAAAGCAGTTATTTGGGCCATTCATTACAATATGGTTCTCCAAAAAATGGGTTATCCTGGTTTGTAATATCAAAGATAGTAGTTTAATATTATCGTTTATCAGGATATCTTTATATTGCAATATATCGTACATGTCTATGCTAAATATTGATTATGGATATGGCGTGTTTGATGAGTCTTTTAGATTCTCAGACAGGTTTGACAAGTCTCAAGACTGCCATCTGTTCCCTGCTTTTTCACATTCTAGTATGTGCATATGCTTCCCTTAGTAAACATCAAAGTCATTAAGCAAAGAGCAGCTGTCGTCAAACAATATGATCATAAGCGTACTGTCATTCATCCCCTCCTCTTTCTCTAATGAAGTAGACTATAACGGCTAAGTAGTGAGTGACAAAGCACTGGAAGTGGATTACATGGGAATTTAAATTGGTTATCTGAAGGCGCCTTACATAAGTTTTTTGGAGATATTATTGTTTATCTTATAATCTTCCTCACTATGGTATTAAAGTTGTCTATCTTTCCATTTATTCAATTACAGATGGTTTTGTTGTGAAAAATACCTTAAAAAACATGCATTCTTAGTGTGAATGGGCTTGCCTCTCCAGAGAGCTGACCTGTGACATGGTCTGGTGGTGTTATAGATACGTTTAATGCCATAATGTACAACATTTTAGGCAAAGCCTTGATCAATTCTTTCAACAATGTGATATTACTTTTAATCTAATCCTAGTGTTTTTCTCCTAGTTTACGATTTGAGTCTAAAATACCATTTTAGATCAATTAATTCTTGATTTATAGTTGATTTACAACATTAATACAACATAAAACAGGAAGGAGTTAACTTGTTTTATTTTCACACAAGACAACGTTTTGCCAAGTTTGTCCAGGATTTGGCACATGGCAACATGTTGAGAGAGAAGGGATTATTTGAAAGAAAGATTGTATTTTTCATGTTGATAATTCGTAACAAGTATAATTATCCAATTTTGGTTGTTTATTAAAAAAAAAAAATAAAAAAGCACAAAAAATTGCCATTCAAACCAAATGAGACTATGCCTTCACTTCCACAAAATCCTTACTCCTTACTCTAAAATCCTACTGCTGCTATTACATCTATATTGTCTAGTAAAATCCAGTGTATTTTTTTTTTTATATGTCATTCTGTGTCCTTGCAGTTGGATTCATGGTCTGTGATCCTGAACGGCTCTGTGGAGGTGACGTACCCGGACAGCAGGACCGAGGTGCTGTGTATGGGCAACAGCTTCGGAGTGTCCCCCACAATGGACAAGGAGTACATGAAGGGGGTGATGAAGACCAAGGTGGACGACTGCCAGGTACAGAGGGGTTCATAATGCAGCAATATTGGCAATAGAGAGTGGGAGATGTCAAAGATGGTAATGAAGAAAGAAAAAGGCGTATGCTTGTTCATCTTGGTGGTATTACAATCTTTCCATTTCTTCAAAAATCAATATAAAAGAATTTACAGCTACGTCGTTGTTGAAACTTCACTTAAAAATATGGGCAGCAAATGATCAAATTAATCCTGACTTAAAACTAAACAAAAACATCTAAACTTAAAACTCTTTTGATAATAATAATCTTAAAACTAAAAACACACTTATGGACTTGTTTGGTCCTGGTTTGATCCCAGTATAGTCCTCACATAGACTTGGTTTGGTTCTGTTATAGTCCTGATTTAGTCCTAGTCTAATGTAGGTTTATCTTCGGGGTTAGGTCCAGTTTACTCCCAATGATGTGTATACAAATATTATTATTTGCCAAAAAAAAAAAAAACAAGTTTAGATGTCTGTATTTATTCCCTTTAATTACTAAGACAGTGCTGTAATTAATATCAAGGCCACATTGTAAATATTTTTGGACTAGTTAGCTAATGAAGTAGTTGTGTCTTTGTTTATAATTATTTGTAATCCTATAAAATCTGTAATATGAACCAATAGGGCCTTGTCACAACATGTACCCAATGTGCTTATGCTAAACTCAAATGGCTTAAATGCATGCAGAAAATCCCTGGGTTATGTACAGAACATGATCCTATAGCTCTGAGCCGTCATGTGCTTAATGGAAATAAATTTCACAACAATGAATGTAAAGAAATGCCACACAGAACTCCTGGGCCTCAGCTGCTGGGAATACTGCACACTGGCACTTTTGTGGAAAATCTTAATTAGAGAAAGCCCTGTTCATTATTCAGCACTGGGAAGAGTCATTTAGTGTTGATTTGAAGGCCTTTCTATTCTCCATTCATTTGCCTTCAACACAATTAATATGAGTTCCAGCCAGCTGCCTTGCAAGAAAAATCTGTACTCGTGTGTCCTTGAGAGCAAAGCAGTGAATTCAGTTATATTAGAAAGAAAATCTTACTGTACCATGATATCAATATTATTGATATTTTAATATACTTAATAATCATTTTAGCTCTAAAATAAAAAAGTACATGCCTTAATTTACTTGACCGATGTTTCCTTTCATTCACATAGAGAACCTTGGTTCTCAATCTCAATCCTAATTGCATTGGTGATTGGCGATTGATTTTAATGAAATAATTGCCACTGTTTTGGCTGAGATTTCTTTGTGTTTTGTGCAGTTTGTGTGTATAGCACAACAAGACTACTGCTGCATCCTGAACCAAGTGGAGAAGAACATGCAGAAGGTGGAGGAGGAGGGTGAGATCGTCATGGTGAAGGAGCATAGAGAGCTGGACCGCACGGGCACCAGGAAAGGACACATCGTAATCAAGGTGATAATACTGGAAATGATGATATGTAGTTTATGTTGTGGTAGTGGTATGTACTATGTAGCAGTGTATTTTCTGATGAAAGATACTTGTGATGAGATGAAAATAGTGTAGTGGGTGGAGTAGTTGGCTGGATTCCCTCCAGGAAACACTTCATTCAGATTAGAGCAGCCTTTCTCATTCACTGTGCCATGGCACACACTCATGTGGGGGAACATTTAATGAATTGATATTCTTGGCCCAAGGCCGAAACCCTGATATGAATTCGTCCCAAGCTAAGGCCCAGACTTCCCCGCTGTGTTATCAGGTCGGGCTGGGTTTATGTGCAGATTTGCACTACATTCATGTGCTCCTCCACTATCTTCTCAAGACACCGTGTTGAACTGTACACACAGTGACCTTTTGACAACATTCATGTGCCATGACTCATATCTCTGTGTTGTGCTCTAGGGCACAGCGGAGCGTCTGACCATGCACCTAGTGGAGGAACACTCTGTGGTGGACCCCACATACATCGAGGACTTCCTGCTGACCTACAGGACCTTCCTCTCCAGCCCCATGGTCGTGGGCAAGAAGCTGCTCGAGTGGTTCCACGACCCCAGTCTCAGGGACAAGGTACACACACAGACTGCATGTCAGACTTTCATAATGAGGCTGCTTTTTATCTCACCCCCTCACATTCAAACACTGTTCGTGGTTCTGCAGTAAGAGTAGTTAACGTGCCCATGTGCTACTCTTCCAGGTTACACGGGTAGTCTTGCTGTGGGTGAACAATCACTTCAATGATTTTGAGGGTGACCCCGCCATGACCCACTTTCTGGAGGAGTTTGAAAACAATCTGGAGAAGGAGGTGAGCCTATTGCCACCTTTGTACACTCAGAAAAACCTGACATATCCTGAATGACATATCTGACATATACGCTCTTGTGTGTGCAGAAAATGTGTGGGCACCTCAGACTGTTAAACATCGCCTGCGCCGCTAAAGCTAAGCCCCGACAGGTGACTCTCACCAAGCCTTCCAGGGACTCCCCTCTGGCCTTCAGCCTTCTGGGGGGGCAGGAGAAGGGCTTCAGGATCTTCATCGATGCCGTGGAGCCTGGGAGCAAGGCGGCAGAGGCTGGGCTCAAACGTGGAGATCAGGTAATGGACAGTTCATGTTGGTTAATTAGGTTTGTAGGTTTGTTTAGGTTTGTTTGTATTTTTAATGCACAATACAAGTTGAGTTTTAAATGACTGAGCACAAAAAAACAAAAACTACTACTAACTAATACTTTTCTGAACATAAACAAGATAGACGATTAGTAATTGCCATTTAACACATTATTTCTAATTCAATTTTTTTATTGTGGCAAAAAATGCTAAATTCCCAATCAGATTTCAACTTATTCTACACTAAAATATATTTATTGTACATTTGAGCCTATTCTACCAGTACAACTTTATTTGTACTTAGGCAGCCAGGCAAGTTGTGCATTCTGCAGCTTGCTTTTATCTGAAGGCTACAACTGGGAGATCTCACCGCAGTCACACACTCCCAAACGCGCTTCTGTTTGTGAAATGGGTTTTCTCGTCTGCTCTAACCACCATTAAACTCCCCATTTCCAAACTCTATGACTGCACTCGCTGCTTACTCTCCCCTTTACAGCCTGACTTCTCTAGCTCTTTTCACACTTGGCTCTTGGCTCCTCAGGGCTTTGGTGGGGTTCAGTCCCATAATCCAAGTTACAAGCATCTTTAGAGTGTCTTCAGCTCCAGCTAAGCGCTTTCAATCGCTGCCGTTTGCCCAAAAAAGAGCAGAAGCAAATGCAATGGCTCCCCTGTTGCCAAAATTCCTTCCGTAAAATGGTGTATTTGATTATTTTCGAAACATTTAAGATACCAATATTTTTTCTATATAGTGTGTTCATTTTATTGAATCTATGTTGTCTGCACTTGAGAATATAGTAACAAAATTATACTTTGTATAGTGTGAGTAGTTGTCATGTTATTTCTTTATATAGATAATTTTTTTAGACTCCAGGTTCATATAAAAACACTCAAAACCAATACAGCTGTTTTTTTGTTTGTTTTGTTTAGTTTGTAGATAGCTTCATAAGGATAAAAATATCCGGGTTACTCTAATATACAGGGATCCCGTGGTCATGGAAATCCTGGAAAAGTCATGGAAATTGAAAATGTCATGTTACAGGCCTGGAAAAGTCATGAAATTTTGTAAATTCAATTAAAGTTTTGGAAAATTCATGGGATTTTAGTTCCGTATTTTCTGCACTATTAGGTGCTCTGGATTATAAGGCGCACTGTCATAGAAGGTTTACGTTCTAACTTTTTTCACAAATAAACCGCACCGGACTTTAAACGAAACACAACAGTTAGATGGCTCAGTGAGACTTTGTTTGGCGCGTTCACGGTGACTCTGGGCTTTGTTCAGTTGTGGCGTGTAGGGAGGGTGCTGTCTGGGATCGCTGGATTGTCGGCGTGTTCACAGTGACTCAGTTGTTCAGTTGTGGCTAGAAGTGGCACATTGCACTCGCTTTTTCGGATTGTTCCTCCGTTCCGTTCCTCGTCCGCGTGGAGTGATGAGTGTGGCTGCGGGTGTTTTTCGCTGCTCCGTGCATGTTTGTGTGCGCTGCAGGTGGCTTTGCAGTTTACTGAAGTCATGCTGGGACACCCAAGTGGATTCGTGTATAGGGTGCTCTGGATTCTGGGCGCGCAGTCATTTTTTGATGGGGTTGGAGGTTTAAGAGTGCGCCCTATGGTGCGGAAAATATGGTATCTATTTCACACAATTACAGCGTTCTGTTAAGTTATCATTAAGCTATTATGATTATTTCTGAACGTTTGCGCCTTTTTGTTTAAAAGCGATGACAATAAATGCACTGACAGTATTTTGAATGTTAAAAAACTATAATACAAAACCATAAGGTCAGTGGAAAGGTTTAACATTTCATATTTATCCCTAAAAGTCTGATAAATTCTACACATACAGAATGGAACATTCACTTTAGGTCATGGAAAAGTTTTGAATTTTTGTCAGTGAAAAAGAGTGGGAACCTTGAATATACTTTTAAAAACTTATTAAAAAACTTAAATGAGCTTAAGCTGCATGACATTATTTATGACAGATAATGGGAATGCAAATAAATTTCAGTGATATTTCTTGTATTTGATATTAAAATACTAGTAAATACGAGTAAAATATAAGAAAATAATGCCTTTAATGTGACTCTTTGTTATATTTTAATTTCCAGTTCATTCTTTGTTGGACAAATAAGCAGTACAGCGACACTGAAACATATAGAGTCTTTCTATACAAATTTGCAGAACATGGCCTATCAAAGGTCACTTCCTCTTATACTAAAAGGAAGTAGCATGTCCAGATATATGTCTCAATGTAAATACACTGCCTCCTGTAGAAAAGCCAGACTCAAACAACATGACTGGGCTGGTTAATATATAAACTCTGACCGCTAAATGACATAACATGGGAAATACTAGCTCTATAGATTGAAAATGACCTGTGGTTCGCATAACTCATCTGTCCTAGAGGTAATTATCTAGGAGTATTGCACACTTCACCGGTTTTATTTAACAGTAAGCAGATGAATTCTAATATTGGGCCAAGATAATTAGAGTGTCAGATTAAATTGACTTTATCATATGGGGATTGCCTAGTGTGTGCAGAGTGCAGAGTATATGCAAATTAAATATTTTATGAACATACTGTATTTTTTTTAAAGCTGCATGTTCAAGATTTGGGTGTGTTTGCAGTGATTGTGAACTATTTTGAACATCGGCAGTCTTACTGTATATGAATCATTGGGTTTAATACAATTAGTTGAGTGAAAATGTTATGTATTTCTTCTATTTATTTCCTTAAGTAGTACTTTTTGAAGTTAATTTTGCATGTTGATGAGGATACTGATAATATTTCTAGGGATACTGTAGCTATTTGTTGTTCATATTGTTTTTTGAAACTATGAAGGTGAAAATTTGGCTTTTGGAGACAACCAAAGTTCTAATGCTAAATCTGTCCTAAGAATAAACCAGCACTGTCAGCCTTAAAGCACAAAGTAGCAGGGATAAAATAGTATGGAGGTGTTCTCAGTTGACTTACCTGGTAAAATATTGAATAAATAAATAAAACATCATTTTTATTTTTCAGATTTTGGAAGTGAACGGACAAAACTTTGAAAATGTCCAGCTCAGCAAAGCCAACGAGATCTTGAAGAACAACACACACTTATCCATAACTGTGAAAACCAATCTATTAGGTACGTCCACTACATCAAATCTACCCGCAAACTCACCACATTTTATACATTCAATTAAATTTAAATAAACTCCACTGTCTTCTGCAGTCTTCAAAGAGCTGCTAACACGACCAGAACAGGAGAACGATATCGACGGTGATGAAGAACATGACAGGAAGAACGGCGCTCCTCATCTGCCGAAGATTGGAGACATCAAAAAGGGCAGCAGATACTCCATCCCTGACCTTGCTGTGGATGTGGAGCAGGTGATGGGTCTGGAGAAGGCCAGCAAGAAGGCCAAGTCCAACACGGTGGGAGGTCGCAACAAGCTCAAGAAGATCTTTGACAAGACGCTAACAAGCATCTTACCGCCCAAACCATACAAGTAAGGAATTAAAACAATTTATTTTATGTTTTCTAGAATCTGGAAACTAAATTTGAAGAGGCTAATACTGTGCTAAAAGGATTGCTTTTGAAATTTTAACTAAATTTTTGTCTAATTTAAGCAAGTTTAAAGTTGCTTTCACACTCTCACACTCCTGGTTTCATACTGGTTGGATTCCAGTTTAATCCTGGTTTAATCCTGGTTTTCGTACTGGTTTTCGTACTGGTTTACTCCTGCTTTAGTTTTCATTTAGTCTTGGTTCAGTCTTGGTTCAGTCCTGGTTCAGTCTTGGTTCAGTCTTGTTCAGTCTTGATTCAGTCTTGATTCAGTCTTGATTCAATCTTGATTCAATCTTGATTCAATCTTGGTTCAGTCTTGGTTCAGTCTTGGTTCAGTCTTGGTTCAGTCTTGGTTCAGTCTTGGTTCAGTCCCGGTCTAGTCCTGCTTTAGTTTTCATTTAGTTCTTGCTTAGTCTTGGTTCAGTCTTTGCTTAGATCCGGTCCAGTCCCGGTCTAGTCCCGGTCTAGTCCCAAATATAGTCCCAATCTAGTCCCAATCTAGTCCTGAGCTAGTTCTGCTTTAGTGTTTGTTTAGTCTTGGTTCAGCCTTGGTTTAGACCTGGTCCAGTTCTAGTCCAGTCCCGATCTAGTCCCGGTCTAGTCCTGCTTTAGTTTTCATTTAGTTCTTGTTTAGTCTTGGTTTAGTCTTGGTTCATTCTTGGTTTAGACCCTGGTTTCAATTGACCATAAAGAATTGAAACCTCCTGGTCTCTTCATTGTTGCACAGGCTATGATATCAGACACTCAAACCAAAATGTGCATCTGAAATTGTATATATAACACAATTATACCAAAAACACAAATACATTTTTTTTATATAATTTGAAAAGCCAGAATTTTGCATCATATTTCCTTTTAAAATAATGTATCTGTTTTTCCCACTGCCCAAACCATTTCATAAAGTGGCAGTGGAGAAAAATGGTTGAGCCAATCCACCCTGTTTCCATTTATAGCCATACAAACATTGCCCCCTGCCTTCGGTACGGTAGAACTGCTGTCTCATGCCTCCTCTCTGCTCCCCTCTGTTGCCATAGCGACGTTTGCGTGGGCCAATCACAGGACGACAGCATAGTGGGGATGAAACAGTCCAAACAGATCCCACCGGCTCTCCCAGTCAGCGGCAACCTGTCCTCCTCCAACCCCGACCTGCTCCAGTCTCATCACCGCATCCTGGACTTCAACAACCAGCCTGGTATGACGCACATGACGAATACGAAGAGCTAGACAACATTTTGGAGTAGATTAGCGTTGTCACAAATAGATATCAGTATCGGTATCATCCAAATACTTGATACCAACATTTAATACCAATATTTTTTTGGCTGTGTCATTCCCAGATTAGGGAAATGGAGGATAATTATGGCAGTATGTTTACTCAAGCACGTAATAAATTATTTTATATTCCAAATAAATACATTTAGTTTTACAAAATAAATCTGTAGGCCTTGTTATGGATTTTAAAATCTAAATATTGCGTCTTCAAGTATCGGTTATTGGCCAGAGCAGCAATACTACTACTACTACTACTACTACTACTACTACTACTACTACTACTACTACTACTACTACTCCTACTCCTACTACTACTCCTACTACTACTCTACTACTACTACTACTACTACTACTACTACTACTACTACTACTACTCCTGCTACTACTCCTACTACTCCTACTCCTCCTACTCCTACTACTACTCCTACTACTCCTACTGCTACTACTACTACTACTACTACTACTACTACTACTACTACTACTACTACTGCTACTACTACTACTACTACTCTACTACTACTACTACTACTACTACTCCTACTACTCCTACTACTCCTACTCCTCCTCCTACTACTACTACTACTACTACTACTACTACTACTACTACTACTACTACTACTACTACTACTCTACTACTACTACTACTACTACTCCTACTGCTACTACTACTACTACTACTACTACTACTACTACTACTACTACTCTACTACTCTTACTACTACTCCTCCTACTCCTACTACTCCTACTCCTCCTCCTACTACTACTACTACTACTACTACTACTACTACTACTAATACTAACTAATATTATTATTATTATTATTATTATTATTATTATTAACAATTTAAGTAATTATAATAAACAAATAGAATAAAAAGAAATAAGGAATAAAATCAAGCTAAAACCAATGGCTGAAAAAAATGTGAACATCCCTAGTCACAATACTAACATTTCAAACAATGCTGATTCTTTTTTTAGGCAATTATATTAAAAATATTAGTATAAAACATTACATTACAACATTACAAAACTTAAATTTTATCATGTCATCTAATAGCAGTTCTTTGATACATCCAAGCCATTCTCCTATTTTCCTATTCCTTATTTTTTTTACCCAAATGTTGTTGCTATGAGCGTTATTATGACAAAAACAATATTGATTATCATTAGGCGGTAATGGTTTCTTCATGCAAATTGTTGCTTCTCCGGCCTAGTTTCTGTTGGAATGCAAAATGCTTCTTTGTATAAACGCAAAGCCACTATGTACTTGCCTACAAATCAAAATATATGGACAAAAATAATATCACGATTTCATAATGATCACAACTATAACCTATACTGGTAACAAGATATTGAAAAACGGTTATGTTGTTATGTTATGTTGTTTTTTATAAAGCTATTCATTCTTGAACAGCTATTGTAATTTGCGTTCTTCTAGCACGTGAGTAATGGCGTACTCACTTTCACGTTTTAATTAGTTGTAATAAAGTATGCACAACTAAACAGCCTTAATAGAAATGCTGCCATTTCCTGAAAACCGATGAAAAATTGTCACATTTGTCATTCCAAAGTGCAATATTTTAACTCTGCCACTGAGTAAAAGACCATATTTATGAATTAAACGCTAGAAAGAACGAACTCTCATAATTCAGGCTTATATATTCCAAACTAGTCTATGATTTAAGCACTACTGTAGATAAATATAAATATCATATGAATTACAATTTAAATGACTACTATATTAACTTCTCACTGTGGCGTATTTCTGTTCTTTCAGTCCCTGTGTTGCCTAGTAAGTATCTACAAATGTCACGTCTTTGCCTCTTCACATGGACATAAATCAAATCGTAACAGTGCCAAAAGATGCTCTACTACTCTCTAGTTTATTTAGTTTATTCTATTTATTATGCATGCGAGTGGGAATTAGTTTTAGTTAATGGCTAATGATGAAGTGACACTAGATGTTTGAGTACACTGGTGATGGTAATACTGCTTGATTTAAGGGTTCTTCTGATCACATAAATTTAGTGGGGTTGCACAAACTTCAAAACAACATGGATTTTATTTATAACCTCTGTTGCTACAATAATTACTGCACACTATTGCAACTACTACTGTTGAGTGTTTAAAGGTACATTATGGACCTTCACCAGAAATGTTACATAAACATTTTGTTCATATACTTTGATTTTGAATATTTTGTGCATCCCTACTTACTGGAAAATACAAAAAGTGGGTTGTTTGGTGGTGGGATTATCTTATAGTAGAAATGTGGTATATGGCTTGGTTCTTTTTTTCTTTTTTTTTCTTTTTTTATTTAACCAACGTGCAGAGACAATAAAAAAAAAAGAACAAAATGTAGGACATACAGATATACAATCATGACAAAGACAATAACAATACATTAGAATTACATTGCACCTAGATATACACATTACATATATGTATATATGTGTGTGCATATATACACTCACAGAAGTACATATTATATATACAGAAATATACATACATACTCATAAACACCTCAACTTGTATTAACATATCTACATTTCATATCCATGTGCATACACGTGTATACACATGAACACACACAGACATATAAATTTGAATACACAAAATTATGGCAACATACCTATTAAAAAAAATAAATAGATTTCTATCAAAGGCTTGGTTATTTTTTAATTCTGACTAATAATTGCTGAAATGTGTAATTGTATAATAATTAATTTTTTTGTTTTGTTTTTGCTTTTTTTTGAGGCGACACTAGTAATCCTCATGTAAAACCTTATTAATAACTTTAGTTTGAAATACAAAACAGCTATTACCTTATGTCTTTCAGCATAGTACAATTTCTGTTATGCATTAAAAAACAAGAAGGTCGCTGGTCTGATTCTGGTGGAGGTAGACTTTTTACTTGGTGTTATAGCTACAGTATGTAATTTTTTAGCGAGTATATAACTTTTACTCTGAGCAGGATTGCGTCTCCATAAACCTGACTCTTTTATTGAGCCTGGAGGAGAGCTTTTTCTTCGTTTGTTTTCTTAGAAATATAGTTCCTTTGGCTATAATATTCCAAAGTATGGCATAAACATATCTATGTCCACAGAGAATGTTCCAAAGTTTCCATGAAGGTGATGTGCCGCCTCTAGAAAATAACGTACTGTATTTTTTATAAAAAAAAATATATATATATATAAAAACACAAATTTATTCTGTTCTTCTCTTTATTCTGTGAAGTCATCATAGTCTATTCTAATACACTATACCAGTTGACTCATTCTGCATCTGTCCCTTCACAGACATGTCAGACCAGGTGCTGCGTGTGTTCAAAGCGGACCAGCAGTCTCGGTACATCATGATCGGGAAGGACACCACGGCTAAAGAGGTGGTGGTCCAGGCCATCCGGGAGTTCGCCCTGACTGCTGCGGCAGAGGCCTACTCCCTGTGCGAGGTGTCGGTCACTCCAGAGGGCGTCATAAAACAGAGGAGGCTGCCCGACCAGCTCTCCAAATTGGCAGACAGGATACAGCTCAGCGGCAGGTAAAGAGTCTATATAAATGTATATGCCCGGTCGATTTACGTTCTTACCCTCACCAGTTGTCATGAGCTTTGGGTAATGACTGAAAGACAAGAAGTACAAGTGGTCGAAATGAGTTTCCTCTGGAGGGTGACTGGGCGCTCCCTTAGAGATAGAGTGAGAAGCTCTGTCACATGGGAGGAGCCCGGAGTAGAGCCGCTGCTCCTGCATGGCAAGAGGAGCAACTGAGTCTGGGCATCTGTTCCGGCTGCTTCCTGGGTGCCTTGCTCGAGAGGTGTTCTCGGACTAGAAGTACTAGAAAATGGATGGATTCATGGATTGGATTAATGTGTATGAATGTTGATGAATTTGGCATTAATTTTTTTTTTTTTTGGTGAAGTACATGTTTTATTATTTTGAAATGTGATGGATATTGTGTATAGGAAAAACAGGGGCGAGCAAGCTATGTTTATCTTGGTGTACTTTTCTGGTAGAGGAAATTAAACCTTCTCCAACATCTCCACAGTATTGAAACGATCCAGTGACCCCCCGATGCCAAGCATTTTATAAGAAAGAACCATATGCATGTAATTGAAAAAATGCAAGATAGATAAGTTTAACCTGGACTTAATTACTTGCAACTGTGAAAGAGCCTGGTTCCTCCATTAGAAAGGTTACATAGTGCATAAGCTTTTTCATAAATTTTTCATCAACATTTTGTCCGTTATTTAATGTTCTGCCCAGTTAGTGCAGGTGTTAAAACTTCCCAGCTTGTGAAAAATAGTCAAGCGTGTTTTATTTGATCTCTTGATTTCTTGACGTGTAGAAAATGGTAGCTCCACAGTCTTGGACTCATAAGCCACAGCAGGTGAAGCTTATATAACCACCTACTGTAACTGCAAACAGGACCAGACAGGGATGAGGGAAAGGAATGTTTGGCATTTCAGCTCGACCCCGAACCATAACAAGAATATACTGTTTCTGTCCAAATATATTTCCTTACAAAACCTAACCCACACCTTCTATCTCTACCACCAGGTACTACTTAAAAAGCAACATGGAGACAGAGACGCTATGTTCAGACGAAGACGCCCAGGACCTGCTAAGAGAGGGTCAGATCTCCTTGTTACAGCTCAGTACAGTCGAAGTGGCCACTCAGCTTTCAATGAGGGCTTTCGAACTGTTCTGTGCCATCGAGCCCACGGAGTACATAGACGACCTGTTCAAACTGCGCTCCAAGACTGGTTCGGCCAGTCTCAAGCGCTTCGAGGAGGCCATAAACCACGAGACCTTCTGGGTGGCAACTGAGGTGACCCGGGAACCCAACCAGCTCAAGCGTATGAAGACTGTCAAGCATTTTATCAAGATAGCATTACACTGTCGAGAATGCAAGAACTTCAGCTCCATGTTTGCCATTATAAGGTATATGTTTGCAATTTTCAATCCCATGCGTCCATCTAAACTCAACATCATTCCTATAAAGTCCCCACCTCTGCCCTAGTTTTCAGAAAGTCAGTTTACGGTTTCTAAGTTATAGTGCTTTAGTCGATTATTCAGTCGATAGTGTAAAATGGTAGCCAGGCTGGCGCAACCTAGTGCCTCCGCTCAATTTCATTCCTCTCCAGCGATTAGGTCAGGAATCAGAATACACTAGACAGTTCGCAAAAACCCCGGAAGTGCGAGTTCGGGAGCAGCCAGTCAGCAAAAAGACATACATTCTGTGATGGCAACGTTTCCTGAGATCAAGTATTTAAAGCCGGAATAAAAAGAATGTTTGGTGAATTTTATCAAGGGGAAAGACGTTATTGCCCTTCTTCCTACGAGATTTGGAAAAAGCTTAATATAACAGTTAGCCCCGTTAGTGGCACATTACATACGTCACCACCAAATACTAGTGATTAGTTAAATATAAAAAAATACCTGCCTACCATCGAGCAAATGAATTCCAGTGCTGCGACGTCACACGGTTTCCACAAAGTGAAACTGGCTGATGAATCAGGCTAATAAAAAGGGAGATTGAACTCATGATTTACAAGTTTAATTGGTCTTTATATAATTACATTGTTTCTTAGTACTTTTTTTGTTGTAGTTTAGTTGTTTTTGCATAAACTCATGTACAGTTGTAGTTTTGTGAGTGCTGTTGGAGTCAGATACGTAGAAATGCATAGTAGTCTTGGGACCAACAAATCGAAGTCCTGTCTATAGTCGACCAAGAATTTCTTTAGTTGAGCATATTCCCTACTAACTTTTATGGTGGTTTCGTATTGTAAACTTACAAAACTTAGAAACTGTGGAAATTATTTACATATTAACCCCTTTATGAACTTCTAAATACCACAAAAATACATTAAATATTCAACAATAAACAACTCTGAGGCTGGTAATGTCTCTGTTTACACCCTACCTTGATTATGCAGTTGCTAATTTATTGTATTAAATTTAAAAAGTTGTTTATTATTAAAAAAAAGAAGAAATAACATCAGCCCATAATCCTCTTGTGTTTTTACCAATTCTATACATTAGCAGTTTTAATCATGTATTTTTGTTAAAACTAAGCTGGAACTTTTTAAATTAAATCTGTAATATTGCCTCCCCATTTCATTTGTAACTAAAACATTTGTTGGTTTATTATAGAAATAACATTACCCCATTATTCTCCATTTAGTTTTTTTTAATTGCGTACATTTTATGCTCAAAAGTACGTCGAGACATTTTATTATGTTAAGCTCCCCTTTCAGACTGGAAATCACTGCGCTCAAACAACAGAAATGCTGCAAAACCCCACATCACCTCTTACCTTTTACTTCACCCTTTTAAAATAACAAAATGTCCTCCCTTCTCCCCACAGCGGTCTGAACCTCGCCCCAGTCTCACGTTTAAGGGGCACGTGGGAGAAACTACCCAGTAAATACGAGAAGCTGTTCAGTGACCTTCAGGACCTGTTCGACCCCTCCAGGAACATGGCCAAGTACAGGAACGTGCTCAACAACCAGAACCTGCAGCCCCCCATCATCCCCCTGTTCCCTGTCATCAAGAAAGACCTCACCTTCCTGCACGAAGGTAATACCAGTTAAGTACCGCTCTTACTACTACGCATGAGCTACCACGAAGGCATGCAGTAGAGTGAAGTACAATAATGTGAACAGTGTGTATTATGAACTGTATTTGATGTCTTTACTGCCACTACTGTTACTTTTATGCTCCTAAATAAGTATCTGTACAAAATATTGCATGGAAAATGGTGATAAATACAAACAATACAGACTGACATTTTAAGATGTGATATTGACTTTTAATTTTGTTCCAAAGTTTGAACTAGGAGTGGAAAAATTTAAAAATGTGTTGCAAAAATGCTTGATTAATCAATGGCTTCGAAGGTCACAAAATGTTTGTATTTTTTATGTTTTATTTCATTTTTTATTTCAGTTTTTGTGATTTTGAATGTAATAATCTAATCTAACTGTAATCAGGGTTCCCACAGTCATGGAAACTCTGGAAAAGTCATGAAAATTGAAAATTCAATGAAAGTTTTGGTAAAATTTCATGACTTTTCCATCTCTTTCACACAAATACTAGCCAGGGTGGCGCCACCTAGTGCCTCTCCTCAATTTAATTTCTCTCCAGGAGAGAAATCTATTTTGATTCCTGACCTAGTCGGTTTGCAAGAACCCCAGAAGTTGTAGACCAAGGATTTAAAGCCAGACCAAAGGGAATGTTTGGTGAATTTGTCAAGGGGAAAGACGTTATTGCCCTTCTTCCTACGGGATTTGGGAAAAGCTTGATATACCAGTTAGCCCCGTTAGCGGCACATTACATACGTCACAACCACATAGCAGCGATTGGCAAAATAAAAAAGTACCCGTCTACCGTCAAGCAAATGAATCCTAATGCTGTGAAGTCAGACTGTTTCCACAAAGTGAAACCGACTGATGAATCAGGCTATGCAACTACAGCATTTCACATTTCATATTTATCCCTAAAAGTATGCTCAATTCTACACATGTAGGTGCCGTAAAGTCACAGAAAATTCACTTTAGGTCATGAAAAAGTCATGGAAAAGTTTTGAAATTTTGTCAGTGAAAAACTGTGGGAACCTTGTAAATCCCATGCCATTTGAGGAGCAGCTGATGGAGCATATTCAATTCAAGTGATATTTTCCATCAACTGCATACTCCAGATGGCAATTACTCACATTATTATAACATATTATAAAAGTGGTAAAAATAATGCACCAGATTATTTGATTTTATTTAAATTTTAGTTTGTTTATGTATATTTCATTTCACAGCTTGTCACTTTATGGCCCAATCCACTAGTTAACAAAGCAATATCCTGTAGTTTGTCGATTTATACACTCAACGATGCCCCCGTGCTCTATCTCCCAGGTAACGACTCTAAAGTGGACGGCCTGGTCAACTTTGAAAAGCTGCGGATGATCGCCAAAGAGATCCGCCATGTTGGACGCATGGCCTCTGTCAACATGGACCCAGCGCTCATGTTTAGAACCAGGTACTGAGACTTCACTCCTCTCTGCTGTGTAATAGTCCACTAACTGTATCATGGGGTTAGCCAGTTCACTTCAGTAGCCAATCCCCCATCACGCTTCCCAGCAGCTGTCGGTTTGGCCAGCACATGTAAAGTAGATGTCCTATTGTGCACAGCGCTTCAGTCAGATGTCTCTTGTCTAATGATGTCTGCACAGTGTTGATTCTCTCTTCTCGTGGGTCTCTGGTGAAATGATTTGTCTTGGTGGTGATCTTTGGTGCTCTGTTTTCCAGTCTTTAAGCTTGTTTGTCTCCTCTCTCCTCTCTCTCGTCCTCCTTTGCTTCTTTGTCCGTGGCACACCCCTCTAGGAAGAAGAAGTGGAGGAGTTTAGGGTAAGTTTGGTGACCCCCTACCACACTTTGCCTGCCACTGCCTGGTTAAAAACGCATTTCCACTGTATTTTAATACAGCGTAGAAGTAATTGGTCAAGTTATACGAGGTGTCTTTCAATATGAAAAATAAGTTGTGCTTAAAGACGCTGTATTTCATTTTTACCGTCTTAAAAGTGTGAAAAACAGAGGTTCATTTTAAACTGTTGCTCACTTGCCTTATGCATTTCAAGCATCCTAATTATTTACCATGATGACTTTATAAACTCACCACTTTCAGAGTCCAGAGCACATTAAAGCTAACAAATATTAGTATGTTAACACCGCACTTACTGTTTCACGGAGAATAAAATGCTCTATAATTGGAGGCAGACAGCAGACATCTGTCTTATTTTGACCCTAAGAGCTGCTTTTGCATTATATCTGTGCTGGGGCAAGACAAATGTTACTTTTTAACATGAAATTGGGTACAGCCCTTTTAATATTCATTTATTTTGGGCTGTACACATATGTTACACATATTTACAGGGACTAAAGCGGTAACCTAAACCTGTACTAGACCAGAACTAGATCTGGACCATAGCAGGATCATACCTGTTCTACAGACTATATAAACATTAAATTGGGCTCAACCCATCAAATTTGTTCATCAAGCTCAACTTGTTTCTTTTGTACTGAGTTTTTGCTAAATTTGTTTGTCAGCATTTTTATTTATTTTTTTAAATCAATTTTGGGAACCATTTGGGACCAAAAACAAATCATATATTAGTTCAATAAATAAACCAACTGCTTTATTGATGTTTACCAGTGGAAATGTGTCTTTGAAATCCTGTTTTTCATGTGTGCTTTCTTCTGCAACTTAACTTATTTGAATTAAACTACTAACACTTTTCGATGCATGCATTCAATAAAAACGTCACTTTTGATACACATTCTTATTCCAAATCATTGGTGTGAAATTTGCTCAAGATTTGATATGAATTTCAAGAATCTTCCACATTTGTAGAGCAGATTTAGCTTCTCCTCAAAGTGACCTTTTTGTAAACGTTCTTGTGTAACATCGTGCATGCATAGTTAAGACATATTTTTAAAAATGTTATCTTTATTCAACCTTCAAGTTGCCAGAGTATCAGGTTATTGTATTTTTGCTCATACTTTGCATTCTTGTGGCCTCTTGAGACATTGAACTTGACCTGAGCACAGTTAATGAAGGACATATGGGATAAACACTTTAATGGAAAACAGTGGTTATGCTGTAATTGAGGAGGTCCAAAGTTTATTGTTATTGTATGCTCTGATCCTTATTCACATCAATTCCAATTTGCATATATATTTTTTTATATTTAAGATATTTCTCATTAAAAGTAGCAATACAACTCACAACATCATATATCAGAGAGCCATTTCAGATTAATTTCAAACAGGTATTTGTCTTCAGAGTTTGGATAATAATGTTATGCATTAAGTGCTTTAAACTCAATATGTAACTTTTTCATCATGTACAGTCTTTTTGAAAAAAATTAAAATCATATTAAAAAACAAAACAAAAAAAACATTACAGTTGTTAACAGTTAAATTAATATTTGTTAAAAATGAATAGTTTCATATATTTCCTTCATACCTTCAAGACATACAAGTAGGGATGTAACAGTAACCAAAATATTGTGATATAATTTCATCAAAAGTCTCACAATATTATCGTGGGCTGTCACAATATGTCGAATTACAAGCCTCTTTGCTTAAATTCACTGTTATGGTGCAGCAAGAGAACTACATAGACCATGATCCTTTGGTGTTGTCAGTGCCAGTTTAACATTAATAACACTTTTAAATCTTAATTCTTCAACCGTATCAAGGCTTTTAAAAAGGAAAAAATAGCATATTCACAATTTTGTTAGCCTCCACAAATACCGCAATAAATATTGTACCGTGAAAATATCATATCAAGAGATTTGGATATTACATTCCTACATACAAGTAATGTTTTTGAAATAATATCACGAAGGATATACATGTTATATAGTATGCTCCATCTATATATTGTAGGTTTTGTATTTACATTTTTATCAAAGTTTATCTCGAATACTTAATTTTATGCGTGCCTTTCAAGAATTTTTTTTTTTTACTTATTGTTTCCTGTTGCACCATTCCTAGATTAAAAAATCAAAAAAAAAATCTTTAAAAATCCTCCATTTACTTAATTACAAATAATATCCTCTGGTACCCTCAGATGCATCATGGGAAATGACTAACCGTTCTCATCACAGACGGGTAAAACATGACTAATGCTATTGTCTAGTGTTTAACTTAAGCCCCCTTCCGAGTGTAGCATTTACTCTTTACTACGAATGAGTCAGGCCACAGAAATGCAAACTATGAGCAGACCAGCCCCTGTTTAAAGCCCCTGTTGTTTGAATGGAGTGAATATCCACCCCTCCTCCCACCCCCTCTCTCCTCCCTCTCTCCTCCCTCTCTCCATCCCCGCTCCCCTTCGCTCCCTGCTGCTGCTGCTGTGTGGAATGCTCGGAATGTTTTGGAGTAGGACACCCATAGCTGCTCGTGCATGTGTAAAACTCCCTGTGTGAACCACCTGGACTCTTATATAAAGGCCCTGGCTACACATATGTTTTTCACTATGTTTTTTTTTTTTTTTTTTTCCACGTTTAAAATATATTGTATCTATTATAACGGTCTTAAAACGTGGTAGAGTAACTGCTAGAATACATGAATACGTCAAATAAAAGTCATGCACTAGTACAGTCAAGATATTCCAAGTTAAATGAGAAAAAAATGTTTAATTGTTGCATACATTTTTCACTAATTGGGTCCAAACTACTCTTATCAGGACACACACAAAAAAAACGACTTCAGACTTAATACAAACATAATATTTTCAACACAAAACAATCTTAGTTTCTTCTACGTTACCAGGTGATCTTAAGACCATAAATACAATATACATATTTACGAAAGGCTGAAATTTTGTCACATTTTAATTTTAATTTTGTCACATCAGGCTCGTCATGATCTTAAATCGCAAATTTTGTGTTAATGGTAATGTATTTTTAAGAAGAATTGTGTAGATCGAAGTTCTCTCTCTTTAAAAGTTTGTAGTTATTAATATTAATATTTTCAACATGAAACAATAGTAGTTTCTTTCATGTGAGCAGGTGATCTTAAGACCATAAATACAATATACATATTTACGAAAGGTCAAAATTTTGTCTCGTTTTTATAAAGCAATTTTGTTCAGTAGGGATGTAACAATAACCGAAATATTGTCAAAAATCTCACAATAATACTGTGGGCTGTCAAACTATATCAAGTTATAAGTTCCTTTGCTTAAATGCATGTTTTTTTAATAGCAACAGCTTATGAACATTGGAAACTACATATCCCATGATTCATTTCAGTGCAGACAACATGAAGATATGTTTTTTTATTTAAATTCTTGGGATTATGACGGAAATAATTCACACCAAGATCTGGTCAAGGTATTTTAAAAGCAAAAAAGTTTCCTATCTACAATTATTTGCCTCTCCAAAATATCACAATAAATATCGTATCGTGAGATGCATATTGTGATAATATTGTACCGCGAGATTATGTAGTTTTGGTAGTTTTAGTATCCATTAATATCTGGGGATCTTATTTTTATCTGTAATACTTACAGCAGCATCCAGGTTTTTTTATTTTTATTTTTTATATTATCTTTCCACTTCCACTATCTGTCTTTGCCCAGTGATGTCTCTAAATCCACATTAACATCTGCAGTGTACAGCATCAGCCACTATCCAACAGTATCTATAAATTTAAATATTAATCAAATAAAAAAAAAACACACAGACATAAAAAATAGGTTCAAAAAATAGTTAAACATTTAAAAGTTCCAATATTGTTTGTGTAGCCAGGGCTTGCATCCCGTAACACAACGGTTATAACCACGTAATAACTTTTTGTTTTCTAATCTGTGTCCGTTTTCCTTTGTTATTTCTATAGATCTCTGAGCCAGGGCAGCGCTAACGCTACAGTCCTGGATGTGAGCCAGTCCGGTGGGCATAAGAAGAGGGTCCGCCGAAGCTCTTTCTTAAACGCCAAAAAGCTGTATGAAGACGCCCAGATGGCTCGTAAGGTCAAACAGTACCTGTCCAACCTGAGCCTGGAGACCAATGAGGAGAGCCTGCAGACGCTGTCCCTGCAGTGCGAGCCCTCCATCAACACATGTGAGCACAAGATCATAAACATGTTTTGTACTCATGATAGTGGTGGTAGTGGTAGTAGTGGTAGTAGTAATAGTAGTAGCAGTAGCTTTACATAAACTAATAAAACTTCATACTTTTTGAGTGTGCACATAAACTTAAAATCATAAAACATTCTGGTTCATAAACTGCAACACTTTCCTGCATCAAAACTTAAATTTCCCTCAGGATTAATAAAGTATCTGTCTGTCTGTTATCCAAAAATCTTAAGCTTTCAATAAATACAGTATTTTTCGGACTATAACTCGCATTTAAAATACTTAAATTCTCTCAAAAAAATCAATAGTGCGTTTTATAATCCAATGTGCCTTATAGTCCGAAAAATACGATAAATAAAGGTGCACTGTGTAACTTTTCTGGTGTGTCCATGGAGATGTCATTGCGTTACCTGCCATTTAACACATCTGTTCAGCATTTATTCAGTTACAGGTGTGTTTATTGCTAAAAACAATACTTTGGAAAAACAAAAAATGCATTCTTACTATGAGTGGGCTTGCCTTTCCACAGATCTGATCTGAAACTTGGCCTGGTAGTGTCACCTCCTTGTCTTCTTGGATAAATAATATACTATACTACATGGAGAGAAGCCCGTTGTGGACCCTCTCTGGCCCTTCTTTTCAAATCGACTGAATGAAAATTATAAAAGAATTATGAGAATATTTTAGGGTTCATGGGGTCAATACCTTGAAAACTGGAAATCTAAAATAGTTTTTCAACGTTTACAGTACTTGTTTTACCGAAACACAAATGGATTTTCACCTATTCTTGTTGTTTTTGCACAGACCATCTGCTTGTCATGCATAGTAGTTTCACAAATCTTAAGTAAATTCAAGCCAGTGTTTGAGTGTAGAGGATTATGATGCCTCACTTGTCCATCATTTGCATGTCGTGTGAAATCTAACTGCTCCACTCTTGTCCATGCACAGTGCCTAAGAACGCGGGTGGGAAGAGGCCGGACACGTCTCCAGTGGTTTCCCGCGCGGCCAGCACCCAGAGAGGACAGCTGTCCAAGGGCAACCAGGCCCTGCAGGTCCCCTCTGTGGCCCTCTACCCCTCCAGGAAGAAAGTGCCCGTCAAGGACCTCCCGCCTTTCGGTAACACTTGGCACGACTGTACAGCACAGTATATGTTTTCTGTAACCTTAACATAATTGGAAATTTTTTATAACAATTTGCAACTGAATAGAGTTTGCAGTTAGAATAATAAGGTGTTTTTATATAATTCTTTCATATTGTTATCTGTTTTTTTTAGCTCAATACTTCACACGGGCTTGCCCAAAATGTCACTTTTATTAACAAAAGCCTACTCTATACGACATAAGATGATTTGTTAATTAAATAATTCACATATAAAACTGGATTTAAAGAAACAAACAAAAAAAAAGTTATTAAAGGTCCAGTATTACTACCGTATTTTCTGGACTATAAGTCACTTCGGAGTATAAGTCGCACCAGCCAAAAATGCGCAATGAAGAAGGAATAAAACATATATAAGTTGCACCAGACTATAAGTCGCACTTTTTGGGGGAAATTTATTTTATAAAATCAGAGACCAGGAACTGACATTTCATCTTAAAAGACAAATTATAGTAATAACAAAAGAACAGAGAACAACAGGCTGAATAGGCATTAATATGTTACCGTAACATATTAACAGTTATTCAGATAATTATAGCATAAACAACATGACATAAGTTTACCAAACTCACGTTCTCACTCCAAATCACTAAATCCATTGAATTCTTCATCCTCGGTGTCACTTCTGTGCGACCTTTGTCGATTCATCCTCTGACTTCCAGGAAACTTTCTTTCTGCTGCTCTATTACCGTTTTTGGCTGAATATTTCACTATTTGCAGCAGGACAGTGGGCTTTTTCTACAGGAGGCATGCGCAGTAGAATGCAAAGTGACAGTGGTACAGTACAGGAGTAATAGTAGTACTAGATACTGACACATGAGCCTAGAGCGCCCTCTCGCGGCTGTCAGTCTGAAAATTTGATATATAAGTCGCACCGGAGTATAAGTCGCAGGACCACCCAACCATGAAAAAATGTGTGACTTAAGTCTGAAAAATATGGTGTATGGTATGCAGAATAGATGTACTGATTATTAATTTGCAGTTATTTAATTGTGTTTAATTATAGGACAAGTTTTAATGAGCACATTTCCTCACATAATTAAACATTTTATATAAATTACTATTTGTTGTGCTAAAACTTGTGGCTAATCTAAATTGTCCCACATATTTTTTTGGCTTCCACTATTTTCTCCTTTCTTCTCCCTAGTCTTTTTCTGTCTTATAATCAAACACTGCCACCTGGAGGTCATTTTGCGCTGCACACACACTGAACTCAAACACACAGTGCTATGCTATGCTAACAGCTTGGAGGCTTGGCTGTGCTCCCCACGCTAACGTCCCCTGTCTGCGCCAATGTCCCCAGGCACCAGCTCTCCGCAGTCCCTCAAGAAGATCCTGTCCCTGTCTGAGGAGAGCGGACAGAGGAGGCAGCCGGAGGACACGGTGTCCAATGCGTCCTCGCAGCTCTCGTCCCCTCCCACCTCCCCCCAGAGCTCGCCCAAGAAGGGTAAGCCCATAATCCCCCTCCCACATGTGCTTAAGGCTGCTGCTGCTGCTGTTGCTGCTGTTCTAGAGCGGTGTTGGTGCGACATCTGCTGGTGTCTGCGTGTACTGCAATAGTGTTCATTTCAGGCTGCATTCAACAAAGATATATCAATAACACAAGATATTTTTAATACACCAGTTCTGCACCATGTAGGGATGAATAATGTCAGTGCCAATGGAGTTGTTTTGTGATGATGTCAGTTCCGGCTCCAACCAAAAACTGATTCCTGATTTCTATGTTTGTTTTTTATCCTTATTCATCAAACAAGAGATAATTTCCTTTTAAAAGCTTATGTTTAACCACAAATTGTATCAAATATGTAAATCATACTATCATAACATAGGATGACCAGTAGGAGTGTGCAAAAATATCTAAATATCGATATATTGTAGAGTTTCATGTGATGATACAGAATTGATATCGACCTTGGGGTCAACATACCGCTATAGTAAAGTGACCCCCCCTTATTTTTTCTTTAGTAGTTACTTGTATGATCATTATTTCTGATGTAATTTACTTTTATTATATATTGCTACATATTCACGATCTTTTAAGGTATTTTAACCAATGTTTTGATGGATAATGACTTGGTAGTTTGTGTAAATGTAACATACTGTTAAAATTGTATATACATAGCAATGTTTGCTATGTTCAGATAATCCACATGTAATTTTAAGTGAAGTTATTGATTACAGAAATCATTTAACAAAACTTCTATCATCTATTTAACTTCTTTATTGATCTTTAGCAAATCTTCTCATATCCCCTATTTAACTACTCAATTGATCAGCCCTGTCTATTTTAACAAGATTCCAAGTCATTATGCATCACTTTGATTACCTAACTAAGTAATTTTTAACATCCAAAAGTTATAATCGACATAAAAAAATGCATCTGAGTTCTTCAAAAAACACTTTTAAATATGTTTTAATTTGCAGATATAGTATTAATATTCAAAGTTTGTCTATAGAAATCAAGTTCTTTATTGATAAAATATAGATTTTCATGGGGGGGGTCAGTATTCTGTAGGGGGGGTCAACATACCATAATAGGATTTTACTATATGGTATGTTGACCCCGGGGTCACTTCACCGCGATGTCAAACTCCTATACCACAGCAGCACGTCTAAACAGAGACATGTTGTAATGAAGGGATGTCGGAGTATGAGGCCCCAACTGAACTGCAGGTTATATCATGAATCACTTGGAAATTGTTTGCTGTCTTAAAACAGTATTTTGTGATTTTCTAGTATTTCCTCATTCACCACCTCCTTGTCCTGTGTAGTTATTGTTTTAAAGCTGTCCTAAACTATTAATAACGTGACCATGTGAAAGGGCCTATTGGTTTTCATTCACAGCAGTTGATTATTCTCCGTTCTAATATCACATTACCCTGAAACTACAGCTCATGTACAGTTGTACATGAGTCACGCTGTGTAACATTAGGCAGTTTCCCCTCAGCTGTCGTCCATAGAAGGCCCATTGATTCCAGTGTCTGTCACGTGTTTGCCTTAATCACAGGGCGGATGACATTAGCAAGCCACAGAGCCAGGAGTATGAGTCTCCCCTTTAAACCACAGGTACAGTGCAGTTTAGTGGGTAGTTTAAGTTCGTAATCGGCGCTGTAGCTGCTGCTTAGTGGACTTGTGTTGTTTTTAAAGTAATAGGTTAAGAGTTAGCGTGTGGCTTTTTAGTATTGGTCTTGTATCGTCATGGGCAGAGCTTACATGTTGTGTTGTGGTCTAATCCTCGTCTCGTCTGCACTTCCTTATGTGTTTCCAAAAGTGCCTTATATTTGACTATGAGAAACACTGGCAAGAAAGTTGGCTTATCTTGTTTCAGTATCATTCTTTTTCACCTTTTAATTAATTTAGGTGATTCAATTTAAGCTCCACTTGCAGATGTCAAATGAAAGGACCTGAAGTGTGACGGGTAATTTACTGTGAGCATGGTCGCCACTCCACAGATCTGACCTGTGATTTGCCCTATTGGCGTCTTGGAGATAAAGTTTCATCCCACTCTGTTGAAACATTCCAGGCCAAGCAACAGCATCTACACAAACAGAAAGGGTTCCCACGGTCATGGAAAAGTCATGGATATTGAAAATTTAATGAACGTTTTGGAAAAGTCATGGAATTTCAGCATCTCTTTCACACAACTACAGCGTTCTGTTAAGTTATCATTAGGTTATCATGATTATTTCCAAACGTATGCACCTTTTGTTTAAAAGAGAGGACAATAAATGCACTGGCAGGATTTTGAATGTTAAAAAATTCACTTTAGGTCATGAAAAAGTTATGGAAAAGTTTTGAAATTTTGTCAGTGAAAAAGAGTGGGAACCCTGCAGAGAGAAATAAGTGGCGTACCCTCTACCAGAAAAGTTACAAAGACCACCTTTAACTGGAAGAATGCCCCTAAATGCATCTTAAACACGTTTACTTCGTGTTTCTGTACTGACGTTTGCCTTGTGTTGTGTGTGCAGGCTACGGTCGTATGGGAGACGCGTACTCGGACTCGGGGCACTCGGAGATCTCCTCTCGCTCCTCTCTGGTCAGCACATCATCCCTGGACATGGCCCAGGAGGACAGGAGGATGCGGCACTCTGGCTTCACCGAGGCACACCTGGGCTCGAGGCTGGAGCGAAGAGCTGCTACCGACCCAGACCAGTACAGCATCGGGTACATGAGCAGACTTTTTATTGTCTGGTTTGACAGCTTTTAGTTAAGACATTTAGATGAAACGTTATTATATTAACTATATTGCTGTAAATGTGCCAATATGGCCACTGTCATTGACTTTCACAACCTTACAGAATATAGCATACACAAATATAACTGTTTACATTACTACATATAAGCTACCTAAAGGTGGAGGGTTTGTATCCATATAGATGTGATTTCTTTGGCTAGAATGTTCCACACTAGAGCTGGAGTTTAATTGCGTATTGTAGAACATTCAAGCCATAGAAATAATATCTCTGTGGAGACAAGCGAGTGACCGACTTTCAAAGAATGCAACAATAACACTTTACTTTATGTATTTGTTTTGGGCAAGTAAGAAATTTACATTCTTTTACAATGGGACATGTAACATTAGTGAAATCATAACAGAAATAACAACAAGAAAATGCTCAAAAAGTAGTGGGAAGAGGAAAACTGATTTATTCTAATCTAATACAATGAGCTTTGTTTTGCGTTTTTCAGACATTTTACATTAAACTATATGAACTACTTACAGGGTTCCCACGGTCATGGAAATCCTGGAAAAGTCCTGGAAATTGAAAATGTATTTTTCCAGGCCTGAAAAAATCATGTAATTTTGTAAATTCAATGAAAGTTTTGGAAAAGTCAGGGAAGTTTAGTATCTCTTTCACGTAACTACAGCGTTCTGTTAAGTTATCATTAGGCTATTATGATTATTTCTGAAAGTATGGGCCTTTTATTTAAAAGAGACGACAATAAATGCACTGACAGTATTTTAAATGTTAAAAAACTCTAAAACCAAACCATAAGATGAGTGGAAAGGGTTAACATTTCATATTTAGCCCTAAAAGTCTGATAAATTCTACACATGTAGGTGCCGTAAAGTCATGGAAAATTCACTTTAGGTCATGAAAAATTAATGGAAAGTTTTGAAATTTTGTCAGTGAAAAAGAGTCTAAATGTAACTTACAAGTGAGGACAAAGAGTCACTGTTATAGCTTGGTAACAAAACTTCATATTGCAAAAATACATATGGATACCAACAATGGTAAGGACATTACTTTACATTAACGTTACTGTCCTCAGACAAACTGTAAATATAATACAAAGAGACATTATATTTATTATTATATTTCACTGAAGTTTTTTTTATTTTCCCAGATCCTACTCGTCGATGCAAGACTGCCGGGGCATTTACGCCGGATGCCCAACCGTTCTCTCCTCGCCCAGTTCCGAGGAGCTGACCCAGGACCAGGGGGACCGAGTGTCTCTGGACGCAGCCGACAGCGGGCGCGGCTCCTGGACCTCCTGCTCCTCTGGTTCCCACGACAACATCCAGACCATGCAGCAGGGACGCAGCTGGGAGACGCTGGCCTTCGGGCCGGGCGGCATCGGAGGCCTGCCCCCTGGCGGTCCCGAGTCGTTACTGGGAGGTCCGGCGGCTCTGTGGGCAGCTCAGGCGCGGGGCAGCTGGGCGTCGGCAAGCTCCTCGTCCTCCTCCGCGGCGTACTGGGGCGAGGACTCTGAGGGAGACACTGGGACGATAAAGAGGAGAGGGGGGAAGGACGTGAGCGCAGACCCAGAGACCAGCAGCATCACCTCCACAGGCTCCGAGGAGGCCAAGCTCATGGGCCGACCCACCCCCTCGCCCATCACCGCCGGGGGTAAAGGACTGCTCTGTGAGTGGCTGCTCGCATGCTCCTCTCACTCTTTTCTTATTCATACTAATGGAAAAAAATATATATTATCATTATTAAATCTTGTAAAAAATGTAATGTAATCACAATGGAAGTTAAGTTCTAAAGGTGCACTATATAACGTTTCGCTACCTGCTTGTCTACATGGAGATGTTATTGCTTGACCTTGGAATGTTCCACAGTATTTATTTAATTTTTTGATAGCCCTTTGAGATACATAATCTCTTTTTTAAGTGGCTCCAGTTTGGCATTAAACTTATAGAGCCAACCAGATGGCACCCTTGGGTCAAATTTAAGGCCAATCTCTGGATATTCGAGTTCGCTCAGACTAAATAATGCATGTTTTTCTAACTATTTCTGAGCAATAAAGACACCGGTAAATGAATACATGCAAAATATATACAATCAAGGCCATACTGCATATCATTTATAATAATAATACATTTTTATTTATAAAGCACTTTTAAAAACTACATTTACAAAGTGCTGTACAAGCAGTAATGAACAATACAAAAAGCATAAAAATAGCATCCAGAAGGCATACAAAAACAGATAATGATCCAAACAATCTAATAAATTATAATAAATAAATAAAAAGAAATAGAATAAAACAAATACTAAGGAATAAAAACTAGTTAGAATCAGTTAAAGGAAGGCCAACCAATATTTTTTTTTATTTTAAGAAGTGATTTAAAACATGATACTGACGATCTCCTCAGGCAGGTCGTTCCAAAGCCAAGGCGCCTGGACTGAAAAGGTGCGATCAGCCTTCGTCCGGATGAATGTGGAGTCGAGGCTGGAGAGGAGGGAGTTGCGATAGTCTAGACGAGATGGATGCATGGATGACTTTTTCAAGTTCAGGGAGGGAGAGGATAGTTTTGATTTTGCTAATTGTGCAAAAGTGGAGAAAACAGGATTGGGCGACTTTTTTGATGTGAAGGTGGAAGTTGAGGTGAGAGTCAAAAATTACGCCAAGGTTTCTGGCAGCGGGGTGATGTTGGGAACGAGGCAAAGCAATAAATCTCCTTGGAGACGGCAGATGGCAGCTCCCTCACCACTAAAGTTACATAATGCACCTTTACTACAATGTTGTTCAATTACGCTTACTCTTTTGTGTGAAAGTTAACAATTTAAAAGCTGTTATTGACAATATTGAACCCTTTCCTTCGTGAAATCTTGAAATTAGCAAGATGTTTATGATGCTTAACAAGGCTCAAGTATGTCTTATGTTTGTATTCATTGTCCCTCAAGTTGAAACTCCTTTCAGTCAACTCTAACTTTTTATAGAAATATTTATCTTAAATTTTCTCACGAAGAATAAATCATACTAAATCTTTGCCTCTCCCTGCCGCAGCTCGTAAGGAATCCCGATACCGTGAGCCCCCTCCCACTCCCCCCGGCTACACCGCCCTCACCATCTCCGACCTGGCAGAGGGACAGCACCAGAACCAACCAACCCCACAGACCACCGCGCCCACCACCACCACCTCCTCCTCCTCCGCCCCCCACACCGGCCGCCGACCCCCCGACTACACCACGGCCCTGCAGCGCTCCCGGATGGTCACCCAGTCCCCGGACCAGCAGGCGCCCAAGCACCGGCGGGCCACCCAAGAGCACCCAGAGCCCGAGGAGGAAGACGAGGGTGAGTCCTTGTCTTCCAGAGTAGTGGCACTGAGGAGGACAAAGCCAGTGGCCAGATACAGACAAGAGACCCCCAGACCCTGAAAGCTAACAGGCAGGGCCCCTCTCCCTACCCCCCAAGGCAGGTAAAGACTAACTTATAAGGAGCACTTCCTCCCATGCATGGAATCACTAAGACAACAAGTCCGGCTCCACAGCGCACTTCTGTACACGTTAAACTGAAGGTGGAGGATTAAAAAGTGGAAGTGACACTGTAATAGTTTCCATTCACAATTTACAAATGAATCCTAATCAGAGGTGGGGATTCGCAAGTCGTGACTTGGACTCGAGTCAGATTTGATTCACTATTTTTAGGACTTGAGACTTGACTTGATAAAATGAAGTAAGACTTGGGACTCGACTTGGACTTGAAGGTCAGTGACTTCATACTTGACTCGGACTTGAGGAGTGTGATTGAGAAGACTTGAGAAGCACTTTTAAATCTGAATTCTTTCTATTCTGACTGCAATGATTCACGCTAACATCTTGTCGATACATTTAAAAAAGAAATCTATACTCTAAAAATACTCATATATAAATATACTATGATTTTTTTAAGTACAATTTATCTTAAAAGTCATATAAACTGCAAAAGTCTAAGTACTCTATATTTGGTACTTTGGTTTAAAGACTTGAAATGACTTGAAGCTCAAAGCAGACGACTTGGACTTGACTTAGACTTATGGGTCAGTGACTCGAGGCTCGACTTGGACTTGCCTGTCTTTGACTTGGGACTTGACTCGGACTTGAGGTCATAGACTTGAGACTTACTTGAGACTTGCAAAACGACGACTCGGTCCCACCTCTGATCCTAATGAATTCTTGCACAAAACACAACACAGTGACAGAATATAATGCAACATAATCTGATTTAGTACTTACTTTTTGGATTTTTTTTTTCCCAAGACTCAATACCAATTCTCTAGTATTGTTGTGCATTTTGTAACTTAGTTTGAAGAAATCTTGTTCTCAAAAACTACCTGAAATATTAATGCCTTTACACACAGATTTCCTCTTTTGTAACAACCTGTAATTTTTTTTTATATTTATTTCTTTTATATATATAGATAAACAAAATCTAGGGCTTGATCCAAATGATAAACACAAAATATATATCAAAGATTTACATATTTACATATTTATATTTTGGTCAGAAATAAAGCTCCTTCTGCGCTTTCGTTTGACATAACCATAGATTTTACTCCAGGGTCACTTACACTCTTTTAGTTTTACACCTTTAAAAATGGGACCTGTTGTGTGGAGCTGGACTGCCCCTGTCACACGCTCACTCCCCCCTGCATGAGTCACTGTGGCGGGACAGCCCCAGACCACGTGCACGCCCAGGACCACATGCACACCCCCACACAGTGCACGTGTCCACACTCTCACTCACGTGTACTCTCCTGTCACCCCCACCACTGCACTGGCACTCTTTCACTTAATCTAACTTTCATGCAGAGTCCAGGAATTCAACCAAAGGTAACAAAGGTAACAAAGGCAGAGCTGTCCAGCAGTTTACAGAGCTTAATACAGATGCAAATGAGTTCATCTATAATACATGGTAAATATTAAATTGTAATTAGATTTTTGGTGCTTTCAAGCTGCTCAGAGGAACAGATGGCAGTGTTTTTGTCTGGCTGTGGCTGAAACTTGTGCCATATTTGCAACAAGTAGTTATTGGCTATGGAGACTTTCTGAACAATTAAAATAGGATGAGTTAAAAGGAATAACAGAGTTTATTTTTTATTCATATAGCTATTAGATTCTGTAATCATACTTTACTTTAAAATACTGTGAAAATCTACGGCTGTAATTAACAATTATTTTAGTAGTCAGCTCTTTTCCCATTAGTAGACTAATGTCAAATTTATACATATAGATTTTTTTTAAATAAAGGTCAAAATATTTTAAAGTGTTAATGTATTGTCTGAAAAAGCGGGCAGATCACATAAGAAGACTCTTCTTTCTGCTCCTTTTCATTCATTCATTCATCTTGTATGTTTGATGATATGTCTTTTTTATACTTTATGAATGAAAAAATAAATAAACAAATACATTTACAATATGGTGACTATAGAGAATATTGATACCTGGAATATTGATGAAAATCACAAATTGTTTTTACATTTTCACAGTTTGATCTTTATAATGACACTGTCTTTGTTATAAAACCTCTAAAGGCTGTTCCAGAGCCTGTAGATTCCAGTTGAAAATTACAATTATCAAAAAATATTATTACGTTTATTTTAGTAGTCAGTACTCGGTAGACACAATTTTTCCAAGTAGTCTCTGCAGCTTTAAATGCATTTTTATATTTATGAGTTATGGAATGTTGTATAAATTGTTTGTTTGTTTTTTTTGTTAAATTTGATCTCATATAGTTGTTGTTTAGTTGCCACATATTTGAAATTATTAGAAAAATCTGTGGGAATTTTGCTGCTTCTAGAAACAGAATGGGCATTTGAGGTGAATTTCATCGCATCTTGTAGCCCAAATCAAAGATCCACGAGTATGTAGGAGATGGGTCCTAGAGCCAGAGTCCAAATCTGGAGATTTCCCTTCACACTGTGCCCTGTCTTATGCTGTACAGATACAGTGTACAGTTACATAAATATATATTTTCCTTTATAAAGAAGCATTTTATTGAACTAAATTATTCCCTGATTATGTGAAAGATGGACTGGCATGGGTAGTGTTGCGTTTTAGTTTTAGTTTTTCCTCAAGTGATGCAGAAAAGAGGGAGCCACTGTGTGAATGTTCATATATGTGCAAGATAGACAAGGCATCTAGCGTTCATGTAAATATCTGCCTCTACTGCTAATCTTTTTTAACCATCAGTCTAATTTCATTCTGTTGTTTTTTTCCACAGAAGACGAACAGGTGTCAGCAGTCTGAAGGGACCACGGTGGACGTACTTTCGCGGTAACCCGGAAGCCCCGCCCCCCTCCCTTGAGCGGGGGGTGGGGGGGTCAGAACGCAGAGACGGACGGACGGACGGACGAACGAACCCGACCAATCACGGACGATCACCGGTGACATACGTGCCTGCCTCTCTCTACTTCTCGTTCTGTGGACCGCCCACCTCCTCCCTCCCCCCCTCGCCTTAACGCACCATGAAGGGGCTGAGTGACCCTGCATGCAAAAAATACTGTGAAGAAGACGAAGGTTAAAGACTATGACAAAAATACCTGGCACTTTGGAATAAAATAGACTCTCATAACAATGTCCTAGCGGGTGGGTGAGCTTCGCGCGACCTACGGACTAGATTTTAGTCAAGAAAATGGGACTTCGAAACACACATTTTGATCTGCACTTTTTTACAGAACAAAATAGACTTTAAAAAAAACACGCTCATTTCCCTACCGGAGATTTTTGTTGTTGAATTTTTTTTGCACCGTGGGAGGACTGAAAAGCAGCGCGGACTGAAATAAGCAGAAGTCGTGATCCAGTATTACTAGTTTTTACATTGAAAATCTTGTCAACGGTGGGTTCCGAAGTGGCAGTTTTAACAGACAGAACCACCATGCACAATTCATTACACAACAGATTCTATATCAATGTTTAAAATAGCACTTTTAGCACAAATGTGACCGATGTTTCAATAGCAGGGTATGTACGCAGTATGCTACCCGCGTCATATCTCAACTGACTGGTTTTTGCTGTTACGTAAGCACACACACACACACACACACGAGAATAAAAAATAACGAACAAAGATGATGAATTGCCTCCGACTTGCCCAAAATCATGATGTCAGTAAAATATCGAATAAATGTCGAGTAAAAGAATCATTTTTTAAAATCGTCGGCGAGAACTGTTTGAAGAAGTTGCCTCTTGTATCCTCGAGACAGACTGAATGCTGATATCATTTCAAAATGTCTGACACGGTTGTTGTCTACATACTCCCATGATTTTGATCGGCCCGACCCAAGAGAATACGAGACATCTTACTCTTTTGAATAGCCAAAGCGCCTTACCATTTTAGGATTGCGAACGTGTTTTGTATAACTGTCCCCTGCTGATAATGTGGGTCGAGAAAAGTCTTTAACTGAATGATATTGGATTGAGATGCCTTACTGAATATTGAATAAACTCTCCCTGATTATTACAGTGTTAAAGGTCCCCTGCTCTGCCCCGCTCTGTCGTAAACTCATCCAGAATTCTTAACATAAGCTCTTGGCAACTGTTCGTGCTCTTGTGAATTTTTAATAAAGCCAAAAATATCGGCTTTGTTGGTCACTTATTGGTTATAACGGACTTCCACACAGAGCCATCCAGCATTGGGTAAAGGTGCATTGCTTAACTTTTGTGGTGGAGCGTCCGTCACCTGCTTGTTGCTATGGATATGTCATTGCTCTGCTTGGAATGTTCCACAGTATGACATTAAACAGCTCTTCTTAAATTGCGAGTGGTTGTATAGCTCAAAAATATCTAGAAAAACAAGCATTATGACTGTGAACGGGGTTGCCTCTCCACAGATCTGACCTGTAACTTGGTCTGTTTTGATCCCATGAAGATTGAAAGGTTCATGGAAATTCTGGCAAAGTCATGGAAACTGAAAATGTAAGTTTCTAGGCCTGAAGAAGTCATGGAATTTTAGTATCTCTTTCTCACGCAACTACAGCGTTCTGTTAAGTTATGATGAGGCTATTATGATTATTTCCGAACATATGTGACTTCTGTTTAAAAGAGAGGACAATAAATGCACTGACAGTAGTTTGCATTTTGTTAAAAAAAAACTATAAAACCAAACCATAATGTGAGTGGAAAGGGTTCATATTTAGCCCTAAAAGTCTGATCAATTCTACACAAGTAGGTGCCATAAAGTCATGGAAAATTCACTGTAGGTCATGAAAAAGCAATGGCAATAACATCTCCATGGGAAAAAGCATTTGACAGACCCTCCACCAGAAAAGTTCCACAGTGCACCTTTAAGTCAGGCTAGGGTTGGGCGATATTGCAGTAAAATTTGAGTTGCGATTTCTCTGCTATTTTGGTCAAATTGGCAATCGTCATTCCGTGTTTTTTTTTTTTAAATGGTCAAAAACAGACCTTTTCCCCCACCCACTCCGCCTATTGGTCGACGTGTGAGTGACAGGTGGATGTAGACTTTCAACTTAGTTACTTACCTCTGAAATACTAGTTACTTATACTACCTATACTAATACTAGTCTGGTTACCTCTTAAATACTGTATAAAAGATACTAAGGAAACTAAAATTATGATCAAATCAAAATCATGATCTGGCTTTGATGAACTTTTGGAACTATCGCCCACCCCCTAGTCAGGCGTTCTGGAATCATTGAGGGTATTGTTGTATCTTAGGCGCGTTGAGGTGGTGTTCAAATATACAGTAAAGCACGACAAAAGACATTTCAGATGGTTTCTCATTCCTAACTGGCTCTGTTTTATTAGGCAAGGTCCAGATCAACGTTTACTCTTGAATCTAAATGTCAGATCGTACAACACAGATTGTAATTAGACTCCGTGAGTGGGGTCTTGAGCAGAGCAGGGGCTGTTTGACCTGTGTGTAAGCGTTCTCTTGTGAAACATGTGTCATGGTTTCATCTGTACCAGACTGATGTGAGCTCATACATGTGTCCCATACCAGACTGTTGTGGGCTAATATCATAGACTGTATATATAAATGGACAAAGCTAACCTGAGAGTGTTTTAAAGGAAGTGAGCATGGGGGCGCTTCTGGCTCTATGGAAAAATTGTCACCCCTCCCTCTGTAACTCTACATCACTCTACATGATCCTGGTGTTTTTATTTTGTTAATTTGTCTGTAAATACATTTCTTTTCCTAATATGGAACTGGCTCCAAATTCGCCCCTGTAACCACTAGCCTCGTGAGCTTCATTTGACTGGAGCTGAACGCTATCATTTAGTCCACTTCTTTATACAGTCTATGAGCAATACATGTGTCCTGTACCAGACTGATGTGAGCTCATACATGTGTTCCATACCAGACCCATGTGGGCCCATGTGTGCTGTACCAGACTGATGTGGGCTTGTGTCATGTGTGGAGTGGAGGTGGCTGAGGGGGGACCATGTGATTGTGGGGCTCCGGTGCACATGAAGAGCAGGCTGAGTCACTGAGGCCTGATCACATTGATCAGTCTGAGACTGAAGCGGTGGGAGTGACCACACCCGAAGAATCTCTTTTGTTTTCTCTTGTACTTTTTGTAATGGCTGCCGATAGATCGTTCATATGTTTGTACTGCGGTGGTGACATGCATCATTCATTTTAATTTGACTCTGAAGATAATGTGCATATTAGCGGGCCCAGTCCTTTTCAAAATAAACTGTTGCACAAGTGTCGCGCGTACAGATAAGTGTAGTGGTAGAACTGCTACTGTGGTGTGCTGTCAGTGAGACGTGTACATTAGCTGGTGATGACCTGTTCCTCTTCATTTTCTTGTACTACTTTGACCTGTATGTCTTTTAAAAAGACAATGGTAGAGTATGTATCTGTTGTTTTTGTATTTTTAATACAATAATTGTAAATATTGGTTATATTTTTGTTCAAATGTAATATGTTTATGCCTCAACATCCAGTTTATATGAAGCTGGGAATCAATAAATACTGCGTAAAGAACCCACTCCTCTGTGCGGAGCCATGTTTGCCATTCTTTCATTTCAGACTTCTGTTGACTCAAGTCATCGCTCCATCCACTCTGACCACTGTGTCAGACCTAATAAAAGGATATACTGAAGTCTCCTTTTATTTATTTGTGCAGAGTTGACTATATTCCAGAGCTCACTCTTTCATTTCAGCTTCTGTCTTTTTATTATTCCTCTTTATTCAGTAACACCACTAGTTTTCCTTATACTAGTTCAAATGTTCCAATTGGCCAACACCACACACACAGAGAAAAGTGTCATTGCTTAATTTACGTCCCAGATAACAATGGCCTTAGTCAATTTTAATCATATGTTAGACTAGCTTGTGGCTGTAATTAGCGTTCTTTTCTCTTAGAGTTATCTTGTTCATGTTTTTCACTGGCAGCTTGTCAGAACACTAGAAGCATTTTAATTGTTGCTCCAGTGATCAGTGTCACGAGCCAGAGGATTTTTGTTCCAATGGCAACATTTTCATTAAAATAACAATAGTAGAGTGTCAGTGTCATAGTGTAAAACATTGGTTCTTCGTGTAGGGTCTTCTACTTGTATCTGGCTGGGTTCCTCGACTTGGATTAAGGTACTCATGACTGAGAGCCAGTGTCTGAAGAAGCATCAGTGGTAAACAGTGACTCTGAAGGCTGCTTATCATGATTTGAGTTAAATTTCCTCACCACACAGTATTGTTCCATATTTAGATATTACATTTTCCTGCCACCAGAGGGCGCATTTCTCTACATATCTACATATGCATTAACTTTAGTAATGGTTTTACATCACTCAGCAAACACTGGTGGATTTCCTTTGTGGCTGGTAACACTTACGTAAAAGCTACACTATGTAACATTTTTGGAACAGAGTCCACAACTATGAAAACCTGAAGATTTCAACTCATCTGCTTTGTTTTTATTTAATTTCAAGTTTATATTGTTCTGGTTTAGTCCTGGTTTTAGTTCTGGTTTAGTCCTGGTTTATTATTAATTTAGAATTATTGATTTATTCCAATCTGCTTCTTCAGCCCCTCCAACCACCCCAACAGTCACACACACCACCTTCATACTTTTTTCTGTGGACCCATATTTTAAAAGTCACAGATCTTCGTGACCCAAGTCAATAGACATTAGTCGTAAATCACAAAATAAAGGCGGATTTGACCATTATTGAACATTAATGAGGATATTTTATTGTTGACTGAGTGATCATGTCTTGCTGAACAATTAGTATTACTCAAGTTTTACACAATGAAAAACAGTCATTGAACCAGCAATAAAAGGATCCATAAATATCCTGAAATGCACTGACCTTTGCTGATTTATCACCTTTCTTTTTAGACAACCAAGCCAGCATTTCTCAGCTTGAGCTGCAGGAAAACTCGTTCAGTGCAGGCAGATAGGAGTCGCTGACTCACTCGCTCTCTCATGTGTCAGGACTGTGTATTGCAGAACGACATGCAGATCATGACAAGGCAACCCCAAAAAAGCCAAAGATGTTCATTTTGTCTTCTTATGCACTTTAACTTCTTGGATTCTTTTTAAAAACAATACAGTAAAGTGTATTTACCTTGTTGACATGTTTCGGCTGCTGCTTCGAGCCGTCTTCAGAAATGTCTCCGGTGTTGGTGGTGACGTGTCGTATATCAGCCTGATGAACCTGGCAGGTCACTCAGACTGACCACGCCTCCCGTCGTCCAGTGTTCTCTGGAGGAGGGTGTTCCAGGCGTGTGAAAGGAGGAATGCTCCATCATCATCTTTTCCTGATGTCAGTGGCCTCCCTGATCCAGCTTTTGAACTTGTTGTTTTCCGATCCAATGACCTGAGCCCGGTCCCAATCCATAATGTGGTTACTTCTTTTACAATGGTCTGATATGGCAGATTTTATGTTTTCCTGTTCTGCTTTGTCTTTTTGTGTTCTGAGTCTCCCTGATGTTTCCTTTTCACATTCCTTTTGGTGTTCCTTTTTTCAGATGTGGAACGCCCAGCCGGTTTCCCATATGTATGATTTATGGCATGATTTGGATCTGCACTGGTAGATGGTGTTGCGTTTTTGTTCTTGTGGGATTTTATCTTTAGGTTGTACTAGCTCTTTGTGGAGTTATGGGAATGGTTTGACTGCAGTGCTAATGTTGTGTCTTTTCATGGCTCTCTGGATGGGTTCAGTTATTCCTCTAATGTATGTATGTAATGTAACAGTTCTGAAGATGGCTTGCAGCAGCAGCCGAAACATGTCAACAAGGTAAATACACTTTACTGTATTGTCTTTAAAGGGGCAGTTCAGAATTTTGGACATAGGACCTCATTTCCGAGTGAGCCAGAGTGTTGGAGACGTGTGGAGACACTTTTTAAAAATTCCATCCAGTCCTTGTATTTGCAGAGGTCGCTGGTGCTAGGCTAGTGCATGTCAATGGCCATAGTTAGCCTGCTACTAAAAACAATCTTACCCACTCCACAAAACACCCAAAGCAAATCTATTATTACACCAGACTATCGATGTTAATGTTTATGTCAAAAAAATAATTTTTGAAGTAAAGCCAACCTTGCATTTGAAGGATTTATGTCTGAGTAGCAGCAGCGAGTTTTACTTCCTGATAGAAAGCTTGGCAGTGGCGGAGTGATATATGAGAAAATAGTCCTGCAACATGTGATGACTCATGTGATGCAAGGTTAGTTTTATTTCAAACATTATTCTATCAACACAGACATTTACATCGACAGTCTGGTCAAATAATTGTTTGTATTTGTAGCCTAGCACCAGCGACCTCTGCAAATACAAGGACTGGATGGAATTTTTCAAAAAGTGTCTCCACACGTCTCCAACACTCTGGCTCACTGGGAAATGAGGTCCTATGTCCAAAATTCAGAACTGTCCCTTTAAAAAGAACCCAAGAAGTTAGACCCCCATTCTGAAGGTAACAATGTACTAGGTAATGTGGGTGAAGTGTCTTGAAAAGGACACATCAATGTTTTGTTTTGGGGTTTTTTTTGCCACTGACCGCCCCACTGTGGCACCTGTATTCCCCACAAGCCTTTTGTCAATTCATATTTCAGTCATTTTGTCAATTCTCCTGGTCGCCTTTAAAACGTGGACTTTGAAAAGATTCTCAAACATAAAAACATAAATCCTAAATCTCATCGCAATTGCAAAGCTTGCCAGAAAAATCGCAGTTAGATATTTTTCCCGAATCATTCTTTCCTCGTCCTGGTTAAAGTTGTAGACAGCAGAGTCCAGACCTCATGCATAATGCACGGTGGATGCTCTTGCCCCCTATCTCCACTGCTGTAGCAATTTGTGTCTTCTCAAAAATATACAGAGCCCGATCCAGAGTTTGAGGCGCCTGACATCCTTTGACCTATAATAATGCTGAAAAGTGACATTTTTTTCAGAATTTTAGACTTAGGCTTAGACAAACTTTATTAACTCACAAAGGAAATTACTTGAACACAGTAGCTTGCTCATTAAAGGGCCCATCTCATGCAAAATAACTCTTTTCACATTGTATCTTATGCACATATACAAGCACAATTTGGGTTTTGGAACATCCATTACACAATAGTTATGAAATCTTACTGATTTCTTGGAGGCAGTCACAGACCAGGAACTATGAAAGGCCGACTATTGCTCATCCCCCGCCCGTCCTGAGAAAGCACAGGCTCCGCCCTCCAAACGTGACGTAGGCTCTGAGTGAGCCGCCCTTCCTCCGTCCATCTCAGGGAGGGAGGGGGAGACAGACGTGCACCCTGATAGTGGTAGGAACAAATTTTATTCATCATGGCGATACAGCGCGTTCACCCTTATTTGTTGGACCCGGAATCAAACGAGGACTGGAGGTACACGAAGCACAGGCACCGCGTCAACATCAGCTGAACATTACTGATTGGTAAAGTATTAATAGATAAACTTATTATATCATGTACACTGCAGTGTCTAACAGTTAGCTTATGCTGTTGCTTTTGTTTAGGTGTTCATGTGGGAATTGTCAGCCGATGTGGGATGGAGGTGGGGCGGAGGCGGTGGAGCTGGGGGAGGGGAGCGGGTGCGAAGGCCAGTCTGCTACGTCAAACACATCATCACTGTAGCAGGCTTTAGTTCGTTGTCACGTGGGAGGGTGGCGGAAATACGCAGCAATTTGTTAAGAAAATGACAAATCAATCTAAAAACCACTTTGGTAACAAATACAAGGCCCACACATCTCTCTTAGAAGGTAGAAAACGCTGAAAAGTTGATTTTGCATGAGATGGGCCCTTTAAAATCTAAATTATAATCACAAAGAGCAAAAGAATAGATGGTAATAAAATCCAAATTTCAAAATAATTCAACAGCTTGTACCAGTTTTTTCCCATGTATTTGAGACATTTCTTGCCCCACAGATATATTATATAAACAGCTCTTGAGGTCAAAATTTGTCTAAGTGTATTCTTTGCATTTATGATTTGATAAACCGGAAGTGCACCTTAGCATGCTAGTTGTTATCTTTTGAATATTTCACAGTTTTAATGGCATTTACAGTGTATTAATGATTGCTGAGACCTTTGGATGCTAATACTCCAGACCGCTTACTGGGTACATTTTGTGGTCAGGAGAGTAAAGTTTCACATTTTTTAACGATTATAAACTTGATTTTGCTCTCAGGCATGGAGTTCAGAAGATTTTAACAAGCCAAAAAATCTAATATTCATAATTTTTTGCCTGTGAAGATACTTTTTGCTTTGAAATTTTACTCCATACTCAGTGAAGGACAGCACAGAGGGGATTGCACTGACGCCATGGATGAAGTTCCTAACCAAGGACACAATATCAGTATGCAGGCGTAAGTGGAGATTGAACCACAGACCTTCACTTCTTATATAATCATGCTTTAAACTTTCTCAGCAAAATTGAACCACAATTTTTTAGGGTTAAAGAAATTCTTGATCAACTAAAGACGTGTCCTTCAGATCGACTGGTTGACTAAAAAGAGGGTGCGCTCTAAAAACTGTTGCCTATCTGAGG